TACTAACCCGAGTAAACCGTATATAAAACTAATTTTCGTCCTACAATTGGTTGTAATCATAGATATAAAAGCCATTGTAATTCCTGACCAACAGTTCTGTCATTTCATTTACTTGTTTTTCATTAATGTTATGCGTTTTAGTAAAATTGTTTTTATAACGATAACTTAAATTCGTATTAAAACGTAAACAAAATATTTAAAACAATCAGATATCGAAGTGGTTTGGATAGGAATTTAAAATACTAATTAAAAATAGCCATTTATGATTAAATTTTATGGGTTTTTCATTTTTAATCTATTTAATTTTATTCCATCGTTTCATACAAACATAACGAGTTATTTTATTCGTTGAAAACCTAATTTTTTTATTTTAAATTATGTATATAACCTAACTAGATTATAATAATTAAAGAAATTAGTTGCGTTGATTTTAACAAATGTATTATTATTTAATTTATTTTTTAATGTGGAATTTTTTATTGCTTTATTGGACATCGATGTAATAATTTTTTTCTTAAGTATAAAATATTTAAATGAATAATAAGATAAAACAACAAAACTTATTCACTTGCCACCAAACGATATTTAGTTAAATGGTCATTTCAAATTTCATTGGCGTTACCCGTAAACAATAATTTGATAACATATTATCTTTTTAGCAAGGATGATACTGCAATATATAAATATTATACAGGTATTTTATTCATATAACTAAATTCAAAAGTGGGCAATTTAATAGAAAAAAAAATTAACTTTAGTTAATTCAAGTTTAGTCGACGTTACACTTTAATAAATAGTAATTAAAAATATATTTAATTACAGAAGTTGGAAATTATTTTAGACATTATCAGACAGTTTTTATGGAGAACAGAATAATTTAACTAAACTGAGTTAAGAAAATGTTGATCTTTAAATTTTTTATCACAGTTAAATTACCACATTAATATTGCATAGTAGCTTGATTTTTATTAAAAATTCATTCTATGCTATATTCCTTCTTATTTAGCATTAACTTGAGTGGCCTTTGGCAATTAAACGTTAAACACACTGATACCCAGACGAAGTAAGCAACGGCATGTGCTATTGAAAGAAAATTAATGTAAATAATTTGTCACGTAAAAGCTTAATCTGTATATTATAATTCATTTTGGTGAACCAGCTGTATGAATAATAGTAATGTTTTGATCACTATTATATATCAAGATGCAAAATTATAGATATTAGATGTATATATATTATATACCATATTAACGAATGAATAAAAAAAAAAAAAATTATAAGAAATATGCAATGAAAAAATTAAGAATGAGAACATAAAACTGTAGTTTTGTCAAAAATACAAGAAATAAAAAGGAACAATTTAAAAAAAATAAAATAAAAATCACAGAAATAACTGAAATAAATTAAACATAATAAGTTGAATGGAAAACACGATATAGGTGTTTTAATTATTGTACATTAGATAGGTATTTATAAATTAACTAAACAATTACGTGATCAACTCGATAGTTGGCGATAAAAGTTAAAAACAATTCAAGTAATATATATATATATATATATATATATTATACAAATAATAGAAAAAAAAATTGAATTGTATGATTGTAAATTCTTGGATTATGAAACCAATATATTTGTATTTGATATGAAAATGTTTCTCGCAAAATAACGCAAAAAAAAACCAAAAATCAAAAATCGTTATGTTCTTTGCCGCAAACAAACTGACCTCTTGCTTACAACACTATGGCGAAAAATTATCTCTTGGTGTTTAATTATTAGAACGTGCAAATGCTTTATTATACATGAAATCCGATCTTCTACAATAATTTTACCTATACAACTGTACTTTAACGTATGAACATCATAGCCATTTTGTCAACAAAACGTGAGATATAATAATATAATAATGTTATAATATCTACAAACTCTCTGGTTTCTAGTCAGCTATATGTGGCACGGAATATTAATTATTTTAATGTGGCCGGTACTGATCCCTCGGGCCCTTTAATATTTACAATGTTATTAGTCAGCGGACCTTTGTTTTCAGACACCAAACCGCGCAACGGGAAAACACGAGACGTATTATACTATTATTATACGATATTTGCTAAGCCTTTGTACAATCCGTTGGCTGTGTGCGTTTACTTTTCAATAGTTAAATGTGTAGCAATTGCAGCGGTACACGTGTGAATCACAACTACAAAAATAATTATTCTTCAATAATGTATTTATTAAAACCACGATTCTTGAAGTTTTTAAATGAACTTAAAGATCATTTTCAAGTACTTAGATTCTTTACCTTTTAAAGAACGTTCTATGGCAATGAAAACCCGTATTTCTCAAAAAAATTGCTCTTTTCAAATGTAAATCATAAAGCAGATATTTTTAAACATAAAATATATTTAAATCGAAATTTTAATAAAAAGTTCCAAAGTTATTAAATTTTATAACCGTCCACAATATAACAATCATATAGATCTATAATACTTATAATAAAGTACTCAAAAATAAATCATTTAAATTTCGGATTAGGACGTTTAGGTCCTTCAACATGTTCAACAAAAATTATTTTCATAACAAATATAACATAAAATATAAAAAGATGCCTAGTTTTCGTTTTAAAATAAAAATTTTGAACTGCCACATAACTCATCAAATAGTAAAATATTCTGTAAACTAAAACTAAATTACTAAATACACTAAAAACTAAATAGTCCTTAAATATATTATTTAGAAATTGTTCAAAATCAAAATCTTAATTAATATATTATTAAAAAAAAAAAATTAAGTTGAGTGTATCCATAAATCTATATGGATTTAAGTAGTAATTTTTAGATAAGAATTTCATTTAAAATTAATTATTTTAGTTATTATAATAAACTGATTTCTTTAAACTAATAGAAATTCAACAACATTAAAAATAGACATTTAATTTCTGAAACTAAAATTTTTTCGGACATTAAAAATATTAATTAACAATCCAAATCTTATCAAAAAAAGTATTTATAGCTATTACTTTATAGTTTATACGCTAATCGTCATTTTAATAAAATTAATTTAAGTCTAATTAAATTAATCAATTATTATTTGTATATGTAAATAATGTAATTTACGATGAAGTGTAAACTTACGGGTATATTTATTCATCACAGTCAATAGCGCATAATAAAAATAACTTTATTAAATTAAAAAAAAAAATGTTTAATATTAACGTAAAAAACTACTAGAAGTCACTATAAAAACATTTTGACATTTTAATATAATATGTATGTAATAGATACCTTAAATATAATATTGATACTTAATTTAATAAATTTAATAATTATAATAATTATTGGTTTGTAAAAAAAAAATATATATATTTTTTATTGGTAAAAATGGCTGTAGATAGCTAATAAATTAAAGCTATATATACCAACCAACAACTATTAATGATTTATAAAAACCACGTGTCATATAATAATTAAAAACACTTGATCTCCCCATTAATATCGAATAAAAATGTTATCAAGTTAACTTGTATAAAAACATTATAAATACAAAACTAAACATTATAAAATATAAAAATCAAACTTTAAACTAGTATTTAATGAATTATGATTTAAGACTAAAAGTATTTAAAGTTTAAATGAGCTGAATTGAAAAACACAAGTGTATACTTTACCCACCAAAACGCTCCGCTCATCTAAACTTTAAATTTCTTTAAATAATTAACTACTTGGTCAAAATTCGATTTTTGTATTTTATAATTTTCGAAAAAATATTTTATTGTAAAATATCAAAATACTATACTAAAAACGAATAAATCAAAAAAGCAAAAATTCATAAAAAAAAAAAATAGTGTAAATATTTCATAATTGTTGTTTTATAATAACTTCAGGTAATGTAAAAAAATAAAGTGTAAATAATTTTTGATAAAATTAACGTACCTTTATAAGAATCGCTCTATACATAATAATATTTACGACATATTTTTTATCGAAATTATACTAATCTTTATTAGTTTATTATACTTTTAAACATGAATTCATACATTTTTTTCACTTAATAAGTATCTCTACAACTCGTGATTATAATACTAAATTCTCTTATACAAATTTATACAAAATACGCCATTCACATAACATATACTCAAAAGTTTTATGAATACTCGTTTAGTAAAAAGCTCATATTTTCTGCATTTGGGATCACTTTGTTGAAGAACAGTATAAATTGATTTTTTATATACATATATTATGTATTTATGCATAAAAAAACATCAAACAGACTAAAACCTACGGTAAAAAAAAATTACGATATTTTACAGTAGTTTCAAACGAATACATCAGACTATACCACCGCTAAAATATAAAATATAGCCTTTCCCTCAAGTATATGTGTAACTGAAAAATAATTATATTATTATTATGAATAATAGTTTGAAACACAAGTTAGACGGCGTCATGAATAGGCAAATATGATACACTTTCACGAACGGAATGAATACGGCAAACAACGATCCGACCTCACGTTTTACTATTTTATTATTTTAATTTACAATTTACTTAAAATAATTAAAATAATAATAGCATTATATTAAATAATTAGAAAGTAGACGAAACGCTTAAACATCAATACATGTAAAAATATTTTTTTCTGTTAATGTTTGTAAAACTTCAATATTTAATTTAATACAAACACAAAAATTGTGACTAGCGTTGTCATTATTGAATATGTTTAATGTTATCATAAAAAAAGATGAATAATTTAAACATACCTAGTTATATTTCGATAAATAATATGAAATTTTTCATCTCCATACTTACTATAAGATATGTTTCCTTTCCATTTCAGCGTCATACTATGTAAAGCATTATAACATTTAATTTTCTACTTTCTTTTGATACTTATATTACTCGTAGTTTGTAAATATTAATCTATAACATACTTTTTTTTTGTTAACTTTATTTATACAAATTATATTTACTATAGAATACATTATAAAATCTATTTATTTACAGTATGTTCACAGGAAACATGATGGTGGGAGCTTCGGCGGCATGTGGCTTGTTGGTCGTGATACTTGTGTGCACTATCCCAGCATCATTATCTGCGCCTTATCCATTGTTACAAGGGTAACCGTAATTTTCTAAATAATATAACAAATTTAAAAATACAACTCGGACAAAAACAATTTAAAAAAAGAAATAATATAATATTTACAAATATATACTTAGCACTGACTAAATAAATCGCACTAAACAATTTAATATATATTTTTATAGTGTGTGAAGACTTGTTAATTTAATTCGAGTTTATATAAATAATTCATTACCTTTAATGTATTCTATAGACAATAGAGCAAACTTATAGTTACACTCAACATCATTTTCGCATAGCCTTTGTGTTTTTTATAAACCGTAAGCAATATAAGTAGTATAATCTTTCAGGTTTATGACAAAAATATTATCATCATCTTGCATAAGAGGTAAGTAGAGCGATAAACACTGGTTTCCGGATTTAGTCCAGATTTTTGAATATTAGAAAACAAGACGACTAAAATCCACTATAAAACAGTACACGGTTAATATACAATGAGCCGTTCAAATAGTAATTACTAATTACTATGCATAATGTATCTTAAGGTTACAATAATTTTTTTCCAAAAATTAAATAGTGCTTATTATATTTTCATAAAATTTTCACGAAATTTACAGAAATTTGACCGTGCTCTACAGGTAAAAATTTATGTTTGTGCACAATCATCGTTTAAATGGATGTAACTTGTGCAGACGTGACATCGCTGTTTGTTACCTCGTATCTTCAGAAAGAACAATTACCATCCACTGTGCATACTCGTACAGTTAAGATCATGCACCCTTTAATTCATAATATGAATTAAAGGGTTTATTTATATATTTATATTTATTTATATCATGCCCATTAACCTTTTCATTGAATTCGGAGAGTTTTTAGATGAAAAACATTTTTCTAACTATGAAGAGGTGAAAGGTACATTTTAAAAACGGCTTAAAAATCGGTATACCTACATGAACTTTTCAACCACGGTAACAAAATCTGTCCCAACAAAAATGAATCAATTTGAACAGTGATAACCTGGGTAGAAAAATACTCGTAACTATACAACTCTAGTACAATCACTACAAACTTAATTTACCCTGATTCAAATGTATCACAACAATCAACTAGGCAAATTAAAACATAAATAACACAGGTATACAAGATATAAATAAAAATATAAAATTTAAAAAAAAAACTTTCGTTTTTATTATTATTTTTTAATTAATAAAACTATACACCCATGTTTCTAAAAACTTTTTCGAATCCCTTGGGCGTCATAATATGTTTTGTCAAAAGTTTACCATAACTACGCTGCTGTCTGGGCTGTGATACAATAAAATAATACGTATAGTACGATGGGCGTATATTATGTTACACACACATATGGGCTTACGTAGGTGCGGATAAATCAACAGAGGTACACCGACTATATTTGTTTTAAACGATTGTTTACGGATGTAACGCACGTGTGATTATATACATGTATATGTCATAACGATGGCTCTCGTCCATAATAATAATGCATGGCGAGCCCAAACTATTGCCCATAAAAACAGTGCTATAAATTTATTTCCTGACTTTTTATACCAGTCATATGACGTCTGCGCGCCACACTCGGAAATGCGCCAATAATACATGTGGTGTGGGTCAAACTGCTGCCCTGCGATCCCTTGACGCTACTGACTGTAGGGATTGAATTCCTCGACGGACGATGGGGCGTGCAGGGGGAAATGCAAAATTGGCGGTGTTATCAGAAGTTGTGAATTATTATCGTCCGTTTATTTACTGCCGCTGCTGCTGCTGTAGGTTGTGTCATATAGAAAATCAGACAGTTAATCACCTAAATTCGATTATTATGATGCATCTTCGTGACAGACAAATGAATGGTGAAAATTAATAAAGATAAGGCACCTTATAATATTAATTTAAAATTATTAATAAATCTCAAGAGATAAAAATGCATTGTATATTTTGATACAAATTACAAATGGATTAAGATAACATATATTTTAAGTATATGTATTATGTAGGTACAGTATAAAATTTTAAAAACTAGTTTGTCCAATCTATTGTAATGACGTTTTCACGCTATTACAGTATTTTTTTATTTTATAATTATAATGTGAATATTATACACATGTATCTTAGACGCATATGTTATCTTGTATTCATTTTATATCATCAGAATCCTCCCCATGTAATATAGATATAAATATTTTTTATTGCTTTAAAAACGTACAATTATGATCCTTCGGCCTACACATAAGTATGTACTGGAGTAATTCGTTTCATCATCTACCACCTATTTCTACTAATTTATTCTTAAAGTAAAATATATTATATTAAAATTTTAATTCAATGTACGTTAAATTTTACTCGATATAACTAAGTGTTTTCATTAAAAATAATCATTAAAATTCTCTCGTATTCCTACGTTTGATATTAATCACAGCGAACACAAATATACCACATGATAAACAATTCAATCATTAATGATGATTCATTTGGTTTAGATATATATTAGTTATATATTTTTATTGGTTATAACTTATAAGATATATTTTAAAGTATTATGATATTTCATTTACCCCATACAAGTGTAGTGACAAAATCAATGAACATTATATTTATAAAACTAACGAATTTTGAACTATATTTCTATATTATACAATCCTTACAAACTTTAATCATAGTAAATTAATCATCTAGAGTTTTTTACCCGACATCAAGTTTAAAATGTTCTACATCTATATACCTACATGATGCTAAAACTGATAAAAATCTTTCTTTATGTTTTAAAACACTAAGTTTTTAATATAAAAAAAGTATGTAATGATTAAAAATCTTTTAAAAACATAAATATAAACAAAGTTCAAAAGTTTCACTTTTTACAAGGTACCTACCTGTTTAATATTTATTTTTTTACATTTATTGAATACACGATCTGATATATATATATATAAACTTTTGGGACCAACGTCAATACTTGACACTTTAAATGTTTCCAGCAGATATCAAATTATAGCGTGACAGCCGACTAATCGAAAATTGTCTTCTTGAAGTCTCTAAACACACGCGTACATAAATATCAAGGAAATGACTAGGTATCTATCTAAAAATAATAAAAGCTTACACCGATATAAATAAATAATGACAATATGGACACATAAATATCGCATTAAAACAAAATATTATTTTAAAATAAATTTACATACGGAAATTATAATATAATGCTATATTTTATAATATGGATATATAATATATTTATACTATTTACGAGATAACATAAATTACTTGTATAAAATAATAACAAAATATAAAGATAGTAAACTTTTATATGTATAACCATTAATCGCTATTCACTAACATGGTTTTTAGTTTTAAAACATTTTATAGTAGAGTTCTTATACCTACTATCTACCTACTCATTATTTATTTATTCCATTTTATTTTAATATTTGAGGAACAGTTGCCTTTCTTGGGACAAACTAAAAACCTAAATAAACTTTCAATTTTTAATTAATAACAGTTATGACCCTGATCATTTTTCTGCACAATTAAAACGTGAAAAGTTTATCCGATATCAAAGAAATAGTTAACTAATTAAGCCAGTATAGCTACAATAGTTATTACCTATCCTTTCACAAATAGAACATATCAAAATCATTGAATTCTGCATAGGTACTGCAATGCATTGAAATACGGCACGTAGATATTTAAAACTTAACTATTGTCTATTTCGTTGAAATGCATATAAAATAAAAAATAAAATGTAAATATTATTATTTTTATTTTTGTTGTTGTAACAGTTTAAGTTATTTTACTTATAACGGTTAAGTAATACATTTCATAACAGTCTGTTTTATTTATTTCAGGCAAAATAACGCGTATTTGTCATCAGAAAATGACGGAGATCCTGAAGTCATGTTGGAATTATTGGCCCGAATAGGCCAAAATATCATGAGAGCAAATGAATTGGAAAAGTAAGGCCAACATTATAAGTATTAAGACATCGACGTTGTGGAATTCATTTGGTTTTTTTCCAAAACGAATTTATTTTTCAATCTTAAGAATACAAAAGAAATAGGTAATATAGCTCTATACTGTACGCACTGAAAATATATATCAGTACTGGCCGCAGGGTACTACGCGAATAATATTATTTGATCAAATGGTTAGTTTCTAGATATAACCGTAGCAATATAAATAAAATATAATATGTTTATTACGAAAAAAAAAATAATAAAGTACGGTTATACAAATATTTTTTGCAATAAACGCGCATTTCATTAGATTTCTTCAATTTAAATATTACTAAATTTTAAATTAGTTTTCTGGCGGTATTCAAAAATAATTTTTCAAAAACTTTCAATGACATATTATTTTAGTTGAATTCAACATGTACACAAACGTCACAAACCCGTATAAGCAAAGAACTTTTAATTATTCCATATCGTACATTATTTTTCATATTTTTTTACAAAGTGAGTGCCTTTCAGATTTTTAATCACTGAGTGAAACGAGAGTTAGAAAGTCAAAATAGCTAAGTGTTACCAATTATATTACTATGATCGAACGAAAAAACCTATATGTTCACATCTGCACGTGTTTTTTATACGGACATAATGTGTGGTCTGCTGCAACAGTAAAGTCACTGGTATTTATTATATTGGTGTTCAATAAACCATCAGTCAAATAGATAAAAAAAAAAAATAAATAGTTTACTATCATTACAAAAAGCGGTTTTGCAAAAAAAAAAAATTGTATACTACGAAAACGTCATACAGAGTATACACAAGGTGATTCGTCAAATATGCTCCACCACATTTTTTTTATTTAATTATAATTAAAAGTTATTAGTTTACTTTGAAACTATATTTACGGTTCTTAGATTTTATTTTTACCATTATTAAAGAGGGTTTATGTATAATATAAATCGAAATTCGAGCGAGTACTTTCTAATTTATTAACTTGTATGCACTTAAGACAATAGAATAGAAATATGTAGGGGTTATGGTTATATTTGAAAATAATAATAATTAATATTAGTTGATTAAAAATACGTAGTTTTTACACATTATCAAACTATATAACTAATAAGTATTAACATTATTATGTATTAGACTATTCTTTTTATTTTATGTTTGATCATTAATAAGTACGTAAATTTCAATAACTAAAAAACTTTTTATTTATATTTTGATTTAAAAGCATTAATTTCATAAAAATCATTTGGTAAACAATTTATAGAAAGAGGAGCAGCTCTCGTAAAAACAAAAATAAAACATTTGCATCGCCACAGGACATTCCTTTATAAAAATATAAAAATCTTAGGATTTGAAAATATTGTCCTTAAGTAGATGTACTATAAAATTCTTGAAGTCGAAATTTTAATAAATAAATAAAGGATAAAAATAAGTTACCATGGTTGGTGAATCGCTTTGTATATAAATATATAAAAACACATATATTATTATGTTGTATTTACACAGACTTTGAAAACTATGACTATTAATTTTGACACATGTCACTCTCCTACAGTGTAACATACCTACACTGATAAAGAAAAAATACGATAAATAAAATAATGTTTAAATTATAGTTGGCCAAATTGGTATACCTACCGAGCGATGAGAAAATAAATACGTTTAGTTTAACGGATTTAAAACAAATATTTACAACTGTTCAAAACAAATCTTATAATTTCAACAGCTACACTTACAGTTACATTTGATTTAACACTATCGCCTGATTAATTTACTAATAGGATTTAATAATATAAGCCGATAATGGGTATCTTCTACAATAAATGACGATACCAAATTTTAACTAAGTAGGTGGTACCTGCCTACCTTTTATTTGTAACTATTTTGGCAGTACCTACAATATACGATTGTCATTGAAAATTTAGAATAAAGTGCATTATAATTTTGCGTACTAAGTAATAGTAAATAATTATAATTTATACGTGTTTAACCCGGGCACAGTTGGCATTTCAAAAAATAAAAATATAAGCATACCTATTTCCATTAGAGCCTGCGTATTGCCAATTTTCCAAGATATTTGAGTGTATAATAATTTACTAGTACATCAAACGTAGTTTTAATCACGTTCTGATTGACGAATAGCGTGAATTTAAGCCTGGTGAATTGATAGTAGTGACGTCTCTTTCTTCTCGCTCAAAAATGGAAGCGTTGAACCTGTCCATCAATTAGTCATAATTATCACTGATTTTACAAAAGCATTTGACATTGTCAACCATTCACTCCTCGTCAATGAACTAAAATATTTCGATGTTGGATATACATAACTTGGCTGATTTTAATCCTACATAATAAACATGAAATAGTTTGTCAAGGTATTTGGCGTTGTTTCTCGCGTCATTGAAGTCCCTTCCAGTGTCTTTCGAGGTGAGCATCTCAGCCCTTTACTATTCTCTTTTTTTTAATAATTTCTTCTTGCAGCAAATAATCAAGACTAAATATCGTCGTTAAGCAAACGATAACAAAATATTTTATAATATTAAATCACAAGCCAATTCTGCTGTTCTACAGGATGAACTAAATTTATTCTCTGCCTAGATTTCTCATCTGGGATTCACCTAGACAAATAACATTAAATTTATTTTTTACATCTCATACTCTCTCTAATTGAACGTATTATATTGATGGCTTCTCAGTTGTTCTCGTTACACAAAAAAAAGACATGGGAATTCATTACACATCTCCTTTTTTTATCATGTAGAAACATAAACTTACTTCGCGGTATTGAATGCTCTTATAGTACTAGAATTTATCAAACATTACATTAAGTTTTTATCTTCACTTAACTATTATCGTTCTCTTTACTTTTGTGATTATTTCTAGAATTTTGTGTTGTGGCGTGCTATCCATGACTTACAAAAGGCAAAATTAGATTGAAATATGTACAAACCTTATTCCTTTCTTTTGCAGCATGTATAATTATTTTTAATGTGCCTACCCATAATTATAATCAACTACAGAATTTACTTTACCTACCCTTTCTTTTATCGTGTCACACGTTTCATTCTACATCTTCAATTTTAATTATACTTGGGATACCTTATAGTGCTAACATAATATTAAGTTTTAACCATACCTTAGTTCTTGGTCTGCATTTTTCAATTATCTACATCATAAGGTTCACACATATTTTTAATTTGTATATTGTAATAATAATGTACTTGTAATTTTATTTTTCAATTACCATTTTGCACCTTAAATAATAAATTAATAAATAATTACACAAACAAGCTTAACAATATACTAATTGATTCAACAAGCATACTCACTCTCATTAAATAATGAATTTATTTAGATTTTGATGAATGTAATTTTTAAGTATGTTCCAGATACATATTTTAAAATTTCTGAACTTTTTTATAGTGTGTAAAAAGTAACCTATGGGTTATGACGATATAAACTTTTTTATTTCTCAAAACTTAATTTTTATTGTAAATAATTAAGCTTATGATTTTTTTTCGAAAATGTTAGTTAATCTATAAATCCGAATTCAAATTTACACCTGAGTTGTTTAATTTTATGTTATCAAAATAATAATTCTTTGTAATAGTTGTCATCAAATATAAAATAAATCTAATACAACTATAATTATACTCAAATAATTTTTATAAACATAAAATGTTAATACTTTAATTACTAAATATACATACTTACATACCTATTTCATATTTATATAATATACTATTTTGAAAAATCATCATTGTCCTCATATCTTTAAAAAAAAGAATCCATTATACTTAGCCCAAAATTAGTTTAATAGTTCAGGAACTATTCTTTTTAATTTGATTCATAAGCATAAAAATGTTTTAAAAATAGTGGTGGTTTTCATTTTTTTAAAAAGAAGTTTGTATACCCATATGACATTACTTAAATAGTTAAATGACATAAAAACTCTAGTAGATAATTTAAAACACCATGTAGAGTAAACATAAGTAAACAAAAACTGAAAAATAGAGGGTTCATGATCGGTAAGTTCTTCATTACCTAGATGATAATGTTAAAATTATTTTATCATCACGATTATTAAGATGATTAAATTTATATTTAAGCTAACCATTATGACTATTAAGCGAATTCTGTGTATAAATTATTACAAGTATTTTTGCTCCTTTAAATAATAATAAAAATGGTGGGTCTCGTGTACCTAAGGCTTAAACGGAATATTTTTTTAGGAATTTTGAAGTTGTGAAATGAAGTGACACAGAGACAGAGGTACTCCGCAAAATGTAGTATCCGCTCGGCTAAACTTTAAAAAGTTATTTAAAGGTATTGTTGCCATTGGCATAGTTGTCACGTCGTGCTCCAATTGATAATTGCAAGTGAACATCATTGACACAGTGTATCCTGAGCCATTTGAGGGGTGTGTTGCATATGTCATATAGTTCTATTAATAAGGTATACCGTTCACGCGTTGGCGCCTGTAGTAACAGGCCCACGGAAATAATATTGTATATATACGACGCAAGTTAGTTTCAGTAAAATTCCAACACAAGTGGACTCGACAGCAAAGCGTATCAGTTATCAATAACATACGATTATTATTGTGATTGTATTTACTTACCTACCTGAAAATGCAAATGCTGAATGTATTTTAAAAATGCAAAAAATATTATCATTGAAATAACCGAACGTATAAAATCTACAATCTACCCATATAGTATATATCCCATTAATATTTTCAAGAATGAAAAACACAAAAAATAAAACTTTTTGTTATTTTTTATTATTGATCGATTATGAAATAAAATATTGACATGTCAATAACGGTAAAAAACTTGGAAACATGACATGATATAATACAATTATTGCTTAATCGAATAGGCGCTATTCCCTAGGGTATAGCAAATTAATTTTATTTTTTGGTGCAATATTTTTGTTTACATAATTTGAGTTCATTACCTATCCAACCAACATTGTTGAAAAAAATCTATTTTCACTATATTTTATTGTTATTATTTATAAATTTTTAATCCTTTTAATTTATCAATGACAAGGATAACAACGTACCTGTTTAATTTCATATTCCAAACCAAAAACTTTTTCCAAGTATTTCGATATAAAATAATAAATTAAAAAAATTGATAAATTAGTTATAATTAGGGCTCAGATTTTGTAGCAAATGCTTCTCTTGAGGGGAGTGTAATAGAAAGATAATTATTATATATAAATACGTTTTGAATCGTTCTGATTTCAATAAAGTAAACTTTTTTTTGTGTTTTTCCACAAAACCTGCTTTTTATTGCTTTTACTCCAATTTGCTTTTTTTCTTAATTTTTACTTATTTTTCTTGAAAATTTAACTCATTTATAAGTTATAGACTAAAAATACTATATTATTATTGCCATCTATTATAAGACCTGAGAAAAAACCAATAATACATGGATGACTGATAAAATAACTATCGTTATTATAACGAAATTGTATAGTTTTAAAATTATCTGAATTTTATCTGCGTATCTTTATAGCACATTCTAATACTTTAGTTGACCGGTAAATATCAATCGGTGAGGTACAGTGTTCTAAATAATTTTTCTATAATCGTTATTGGCACCCAATAGGATGAGTTTTAATGAAAGTAACTTAACCAAATATATGGTCGTAAATTCCTTTTTTAATATTTAATTTTATGTGTAATTTAAATTTGATTTTTAGAATTAAATTTAATAAATGCTTTTTTATGGATTTATTTTCTACAAAATCCGAGCTCTAGTTATAACTAAAAAATGTTTAAAATGTATATGAACAGAGAAGTGGGCCGAAATTGTTCGAAGTACTACTGGTCACTTCATTCTGCTAATCAAAATATTTAAACTTTTAGTTTACCTACTTATAACTATATATACGTATAAAATGTTATTTTAATACATTGAGATTATTAGAAATAAAAATTGTCGCAGACACTAAAATTTTGAACTTATTTCCGTTGGTTCAACACAAACTTAAACATTCATTTCGTATAAGCATAATTAAGCTCGTACGTCAAATAAAAAATAAAAATGTTAAGCTTTGCTAAACCGGAATTTTCAATTCTTTCTCTTCTTTTTTTCCTTGTGAGAATTAAAATTGAACTTGTTCCAATTGACCGCTTATAATTTACCAACCTAATTCCAAAATATTGACCCTATTAAACAACAAAACGTTCATAATATATATTATACTGCTAACTGTAATGCATAATATTATCATTTATAACCAATATTTTTGGCATTTTCATAACTTCATCAATAATTTCAAAAAAAATTATAAATACTGTACTAATACCATACAAAAAAAATCTGAATTTTTAATTTATTTTTTACGAAATTGAAAATTTATATTAACAAAAAATAATACGTCAACAGCTAAAACGTATCAGATATTGCTTGGCTATTTTTGTTATTTTTTTACAAAAGTACATTACTTGAACGCTTAAATACTAAACAAATGCCAAATGCGTATCAATGTATCATATTTAATTAGGTACTAGACTTATAACTAAATGGTTATAGATAGTATTTAAAGAAAAACATGGTTTTTATCACGTGTAGAAAAATTGCTTAGTTTGGTCAATCATTTATAGCTACCTACATTTCGCAGATGTAGATCTACAACTAACCTTCAACAACTGATATGTCTGTTCAATTTTACAATATCCATAACGGGAATATTATTACTTCGTGTTGACTTTTTAGTTCTCTAGTATATATTAATATTCATGAAGCCTAGTAAAACATAATAATATTATAAATTAACATTATGAAAAATTTATTGTAGTCTGTATCATAAATGAAAATAATTGAAAGATAGAGGATAAAAAAACCCTGTAATATCAATAAACCATTATAAATCTTTTAACAGTTTTTGAAATATATTTTCCCTTTAAAAATATAATAAATTCTCAAAAACATTATTTTTACGTATTAGTTTTAAAATTTAAATAAATATAAGTGTTAGTTTTAAAATTTAAATAAATATGAGAGTAGGTAGATATATTAAAAATATATGATACGGGATTTAAGTGGGTCATTTGAGTAAGTTTGAATTTTTTTTTAACCGACGTTTACTACATTTGTTGATAGTGGTTTTTTTCTCGAAACGCGTAAATTGATTTTTAATTTTATTGAATATGTATGGGATAAATACAATTGTTTGAGCTTCTTCACTTCCTGCGAAGTTTTATATATTTTAATGGATTGAATGGAAAAATAATAACATAAATCAATAAAAAAAACCAATAATTCCTTGCAATTCAAAAAAATATAACAAAGTTCAATTACCTATACTACAAGTACGTTAAATTAATTATTTATTAACAACATTTATGATAAGTAAGTTTTACTAGACGTTCTAAAAAACAAATAAATAGTTATCTAAGTACCTAAGTTTAGCAATAATAGTCTATTCTATAACTAATGCTACTACCTATCAGTAAGTACCTAATAGTTAATAATCTTTACTACTCTTTTACTAACAATTTTAATATGTTGTGTATATGCCTTATTAGTTTTTATAGTATATAGTAAAAAATATATCATATATGATCGCTATAGTGATGACGCAATGTGTATTTATGGACATTAATGACTAGGTAGTGTGTACCTAATACCTATATATAGAAACATATTACGTATAGTACACATAAATTTATATATTCTTGTATATTTAAAAAAAATACAAGTAATTGATTAAATACTTACATAATCAACAATAAGAATTGTAAATATACCTACAGTACCTTCTCGTTCGTTAACATTAATTTAAATTATATAAGCAAATACCTATAATATGCGAGTTAATATTTAAAAAAAAATAACTCGCAATCATACGTCATGGTACCAAACTATAAACTGATCAAAAGTACCTACATATATATACAATATACAATTTAAATTGTACTTTCTCATTGCAATAATTACAAATAATCAAATTGAAAATCAACTCGTACTCATAGAACAAAAAAATTTTGAAGTGAATACTAATTAAATTTAAACACTTCCTCTCCCACAAATAATTTAAAATTCACATACACAATTATAAAAAAAAAAAAATTAAATTAAACATGAAAACAAATTATAAGACTCACTGTACGTGACTAAATATAAAACATCCAAGTCACAAATATGCATAGGTGTCTAATGATAATTGTATAGTACTGCCTTTTAGCTACCTATCTTCGATACTCTCTATACAAAACTTACATTTTGTTGAACACTCAAGTTCAATACCTAATCAATAAAATTAAGATAATTAGTAAATTAATATTATTATCTATTTTATACATTGATTGAAATAGATAACAATTTACTAAAAAGTATAATTTTATAATAACTATAAAAGCATAGAGTAAGTACTATTTCTTGAGACTAGGAAAGTTAACTAATAACTGAGTTTATTTAACTCATTAGTTAAATTATTATAGAAATTATAAGTTAAGTTTATACTTTAAAGTTACTTATCAGTTTTTTACTTGTAAGTTACAAGTTAAATAAAAAAAAAAGAAATTTAACTCAATTAAATATCAGTTCCATTTATTTCCTTAAACTGAATATTTACAGTCTATACTCTATACTTAAGGCATAATAATAGGCAAATTCAATAAAAATATAAAATAACAAAAATAATACATATTAAAGAAATTGATAGGAAAAATAACAGAAAAGAAGACCAACTGAACTTTTACCTAATTTTACCTATTATACTGTATCTTCAAATATTCAAGTAAGAAAAAACAAAGTATATAGTATAGAATCAACATAGATATTGAACGTTATATCAAAGCTTGGTACACTGTTATTGTCCAAAATTGCATAACACTGATACACTTTTAAACTTCCTGAGGGGATACAACAACTTTATCCATAAAGTAAAGTTTATAACAATATAATTATATAACTTACCTGTGAAATTTGTGTTAAGTAAATTTTACTAATAATAAATTATTATAAAGGCTAAGTTACATACTTTGACCTTTCAATACTAAAATGAATCAATTGAGCTCTTCAAGTGCTTAATAAGAATTTAAAAAATATATGTGAAAAATATCTTGAAAAAATTTAATTTTTAAAATGTTTTTAATTTTTTTTCAGTTCTAAGCGTGGGCTTGATTTGGGCTTAAGCCGAGGCTATTCAGGCACACAAGCTGCAAAACATTTAATGGGCATGGCAGCAGCTAATTTTGCTGGTGGTCCAGGACGCCGACGTCGCAGTGATATGCTTCCTAAGCTTCTTACACCTTAAATTTTTAGTTTGTTATAAATTATATTTACAAACTATTACATTCAAATATATACTAAATATTATATAAATATATGAATTATATATATATAATAATATAAATAAATAAATATATATATACATATATATAGACATATTACAAGTCAATGATTATTTTAAGCATAATCCATCCATTGTTTTGTGAATGTTATCCCACCTTCAGTAGAATGTTAACAGATTATAAAATTTTATAGATTAGCATAATTGCTTACTGTACGTATTTCTTTTAATTAGACTATTTGAATTGTAAACTTAATGACTTTAAACGTTTATCTCATGTTTATTTTATGTCGAAATACAGCACATTCCTGTTTTAAATAGTGTTTTTAATTTTTAACACCTAAAATATCAGTTTCTGGTAAATTATGATGTACCCATGTTAATATAGGTACACAATTGTATACATAAAAACAACAAAAATATTATTTTTAAATAATTTTAATAAAATATAATATATATACAGCATAGTATTATAATAATTATTATTATTATGATAGATCTAAAAGAACACTACAAAATAAAATATAAATAAAACCAACATAAATTCATACACAAAACAATACCTAATATTAAATGCCATCTAAAATATTAGAAATATTATTTTTAATTTTATCATATAGCCTAATGATTTGTTAAAACACAAAACAAAAACATCACAATTAATAATAATAATAAAAACATAATAATTTAAAATAATACTCATCAATTGTAACTAAAAATAGACAATTGAAAAACAAAAATTAAACAATAATAAAGTGAAAGATTATAAAACAATAATTATTATTTTAGTTTGAAATACTGACTAGGGATCTTTTATGCTCATTTAGACTAACTTTTAAATTATTACACATTTAAAATCTAAACATGGTAAATATTGGTAACAAGAATATGATTTCATAGATTGTGCTTCTTACAAAATGGCAAACAAATATTTAAAATAAAACAGAATTAATGTAATTAATTTAGGAGAAATCACAAAAAGACAGTAGGTGTGTGATAAATAAGTAGATAAGTAAAGCGATTATTAATAAAATTATTTTTAGTTTTATTATAACTTAAAATCATAAGAGCTGACACCATTTTAAGACTGATACCTAAAGAAAAACATAATTTTAAGTTAAGTACAAGTTGTAATATGTAGATGCTTCTAACTCCGGGAAACATACCCTGAACTCCGCACGAAAAATGAAATATCAGTTAGAGCTTAGTATATATATAAACAAAAAATACATACATGGATATTAGTATTCTGTCACAAAATATTGGGAAGCCAATTTAACATTATGTATTAAACAGGTATAATAAATGGGACAAAATGATTTTTTTTTTTTAAGAAACCTAATAAAGTACTAATATCTAGAATATCTTTAACTGTTTAAGTCTATAATTATAATTATATTATTATTATATATTATGTAGTATATTTTCAGTGTGAACTCTACATTAAAAAAAAAACCACTTAACACATTATAGCATTGCACTCGACATGAAAATAAAAATAAATAAATAAATACATATATATGTATAAAGAAAACAAAACAGAATACAAAATGAATAGTTCTTAGTGAATTCCTAATAAAACATCAAAAATATCCAAGTGTAGATAACATATAACAAGTTAAAAAAAATTCTTTAAATGTCTATACAAAAATTAACAATTACTCAAATTTGTTTTTAAGAAACTTTACATTTTAACTAAACATAAAAGTAAATATAATATTATTTAAATGCAATTTGTTTTCAAAATTTAAGCATTTTCCACAATAGATTTAATCATTCAAAACATGGAATAATTTTTAATTTTTAATTTTTTTTTTTTATTCTTATTTTTTTGTCAACATTATCATATGAACAAAAAATTGCATTAACATTGGAGATTTATAATGTGACTTCACTAGGAACTATCCAATTCCGAAAAAAAAAACAAAAACAAAAATAATGATTAACAATAATAATTACTATACAGTAATTAATATTAGACAAGCTCTTTAAAATGTTTAAACAGATAATAAAAGCAAAGAAATCAGATACCTGTTGTTCAAATGGTGATACAATACAAATGGCACCGATTTTAAACATAAAATAATACATTATGATGAGGAAATTTTTTTACGTATACACTTAAATAATTGGCTAAAAAAATTGTTCTATTCATTTTAATAGTTAATTAAACCATATTCGATTATTTTGAGTAAATAAAAAGGTTTGAGAAAACTTAGGCAGTGGTGTACGCAGAGGTCAGAATACACTATACGAGAATAATAATAATATGATATAAGTAACAACTAGTAATATTTTAATTTAGTTAATTATTAATAATTATTTTTATTATTATTATTATTACTATTATTGTTATAATAAATTATATATATATACATATATGTATACATACACATATATATGTTAATTTATTTTTTTTACAAATAACTATATTTCAATTATCTATTATGTCTCTAAAGTCCCAATTTGTCAAAATCTAACAATAAGAAAGGATCAAAAGAAATATATGAATTCAGATTTTGTAAACAAGTTAACAAAAAACAAAATCAATGTAAAAAGAGATTGTATCTTATCTAACGTAGAGCAAGATTTTGACATTGTAAAAATATACCCAAGTATATTAATATGATTGAAATACACCATTGTCATTTTAGTTCAGCATGGTATATATATATATATATATATATATATCCACACAGTGATATAATAACAATTTTTCTGAGTTTTCTGACTCTTGAACAAAATGTATTTCCTGCGAACGCCACTGGCTAAACAAAGCCATCTTAGTAAAAACCTACTAAATCATAATAATTTTAATACAAGCAGAATTTCTCATAAACAGTTTGGTCCTCCTATTGTATTATTAATTGTGTACTGAGGCTGCGAAAACAAAATGTATAAATGTATCTAAATAAAATAGACAGTTTGCGTACCTTAAAACTCGGCAAACTCTTTGGCGCATTTTTCTGTTGAAGAGATTCTTAATGCTTCTTCCTCATATTCATCAAAATTGCTTGTATCTCCAGGTCCTTTGCACCTAGGAATAAACGGAGCTTCAATTTTCTTCTGAAACACTGCAATCCAATCTGTTGATGCAAACCACTTGTGTCCTTTGATATCGTTGACACCATTCTTCAGATTTCCAAATCGTTTGGTTAGATCCACTTGTAGCAAATTCCTCAGTAGGTCTTTTAGGTCAGAACCAAAATGTGATGGAAAACGTACTTTGCCCGAGACAATTTTCTCGTATATCTGTATAGGTTGGTCTGCAAAGAATGGTGGATAACCAGCAGCCATCTCGTATACTAGAACTCCAAGAGCCCACCAGTCGACAGCTTTATTATATCCCTTGCTTAATATAATTTCGGGCGCCAAATATTCAGGCGTACCACACAGGGTCCATGTTCGCCCTTTGACACGTTTCGCAAAACCAAAGTCTGTTACTTTCAAATAGCCCTGCGAATCGATCAGCAAGTTTTCTGGCTTGAGATCTCTGTAGATTAGGTCAAGATAGTGTAGATACTCGAATGCTAGCACTATTTGAGCCGCGTAAAAACGCGAATGTGGCTCGCTGAAACGGCCAACCTTTCGCAGGTGAGAGAACATTTCACCTCCTGGCACATATTCAAGCACCATATATAAATTGGAATTGTCCTTGAAGTGATATTTCAAACTGACGAGGAACGGGAAACTAATTGCTTGTAAAATTCTTTTTTCGTTCAATGTATGTTCTACCTGTTTCAACTTCACCACTTTCTGTTTATCAAGTATTTTCATAGCATAATACTCCTTGGAAGCCTTATGTTGTACAATCATGACACGACCAAATGAGCCAGTACCCAACGTCTTGATACGGTCAAAGTCTTCAAGGGCCGCCGTGTTCGTGGGGTTCTTTTTCCACTTCTCCTCGAAGTCCTCCTTGGCCTGGTCGAGGAACTCTTTGACGCTCTCAGCCGAGTCGCCTTTCTTATTAGCCGTCGCGGCGTTGCCCATTGCGTTCGCTTTTTTACCTTCCAGGGCTCCCGACGAACGAGTTGTCATTAACTAACGACGTACAGCTGATTTTTTAACGTGCTGCACCGAACGTCCGCTGCACGGTCAACTATATTTTAATCGAAACAGTCTCTATACTGCCAAGTTAATCAAGCTTTATAGTGTATCATCACGGGCTTACCTCAAAATCGGACGAGGCTGGTTCGGCGAAACGACGGCGATATTCGCAAACGATCGAGCACTGTCATAATTTATTATTTAATCAACGACTAACGAGAATCAGTAAGGGGATTAAAATCTCGAAAATACATAAACAAAATGGTCAATAAAAAAAATTGATAGGAAAAGAATTTTTCCTTTTCCCCCGACCAAAAATTCTCAAAATGGCCGATCGACCAGCTGCGGGCCAACCATGGAAGAAACGACTTCCGGGACCGGGAAGAAAAAACGCACATCGCACCGCTACTGTACAAAACCTCACCACACCACCCACTGTTAACACAACTGTCACCCGTTTGCCACCACCGACGATATGTACGTAACCGACGCCGGCGAAAGCCGACTAACAATAACGACAAGGACAACAATGGCGACCGGTCTCGTACACGTCTTGTTTAGTGTTTAAAACAAAAGAATCATGATAACAAAATAAAAAATACTCGAGTACAGCTTATTAGTTGTTAGTTGTTACTTAGCAAACACACCACTTCTCTAGATTTGCCCGCCGATCTTTCTTCGTATCTTCCCAAAAACCAGTGTAATCGGCATATCTCATACACTCGAATCATAAGATTAAGCATTCGTAATAATATAACATAATTACCTAATAAAAATAAAAAATATATCTAAGTATTAAATATAATACGATCCGCAAATGGTGAAATATTACTTAATGTACAGCTTATTGACGTACAAAATATTTATCCCTACTTAAATCGAAAATTAAGATTAACAGTAATTAAGTATAATATCGTCTAAGGCTCTAAGCACTTGTCGTGAGATGAATACATAACATTATAATATATTCATCATACCTATAAACCAAACGGTAAAAGATAAAAGTTTTTTTACTTTTTAGTGTATACGATAACAATATGAATTATATATGTATTACAATAAATCAACATTTTCAACATACTGCCACCATTCAAGTGCTTGTAATTTCCGGAAAAATTACCACACGATAAGTTTTCTAATTAACACCTTTTTTACATAACTTTGGAGCTTACGATTTTATCATTTTAAAAAGATGCATTATGACAAATATTGAGCACTAACCCTAAACATAACATTTATTTAATATTTTTTATTGTTAATTATAACTAAGAAATGACTATTAATTTTTAAATATTCAAATTTCATACTACTCGAAAGTTAGACAAAGTATAGCTAATTGTCTTAAAATTGCTTAGTTTGAATAATAGATAAATTGGATACTTTAATTTTTTTTCAAGGTATTCCATACAAGTGTCAAGTAAAACGTGCATACTACCATACAATAGTTATTATGTATATGATAGTAGTAAACACTGAACATATCACTTAAAAGACTATTAATTTCACATTTAAGGTATTATGTTTTAATTATCAATGCAACATAACTAACTTAATTACCTGAACAATTATAATATTTTAAGAAACAAGAAGTAATTTAAAAAAAAAAAAATTATAATAAAAACTAGAAATTTAATGCTCGAAAAAAAAGAGAAAATTCCACAAAAATCCTTAATTCTATTCAAAATAATAAATTTCAATTGTTTATATTGATAGAGCATTCATACAATTCTGAAAAATACCCTAAGAATTACACAAAATAGAAAATGCTCTTAAAAAAAATTAAAATTTATAATTTTTACAACAGATATGAAACTAATTTTTACCAAAATAAGCATCGTATTAAATCATTAGAAAAAAATACTTAATTCATTAAAATTCCACTATTGTGGTAATAATAATTATAACTATTAATAACAATTATCCATGTAACAAACAGATAAGTTTGTAAGTAAATAACTAATAAAAGATAACTATATAATTAACCATTTAAGAAAACTGAATTTTTTTTTTTTGAATATTGATAATCAAAAATAAATCTTCAAAATATTTTCTGATTAATCTTGCTTTAACCAATTGATATAACTGTATTATGTGAAAAATAAAATGTTTATTGTGACACTAATGAACATTATGAATACTAACAAGTAAATACTCATTATTTTTAATGTATTAATAAATGCATGGCAAAAAACAATATTGTTCTCTTAATTTGACTATTTTACACATAATACGAAAATATAATAGCTGTAAAAAAATTGATTAAATGAAAAACTAAAATTAAAGCATGTTAAATCATTATCAATTAATAACCATATATTATAGCTAACTTTAATATTTTTATAAAATAAATTAAAAAATGGTTTTGAATAGGATTTATTTAATCTAGTAAATAATCACAAATGCAAGGTTTACATTCTAGACAATTTATTAATTAAAACAGATACAGTACAGTACAATTTATAACTGTGTAAGATACACAGTTTAAAGTATTACCAAAACAGGACTTTGAAAAATATTTTTAAATAATCATAAAAATTACACCAAATTTATGCAAATAAAAATTGAATGTAATAGAGTGTATACAAGGGTAAAAAAAATAAAATAGGTAGGACTTTATAGACTATTTAATGTATATAATTACCATTGGTAAATATATTTAATACTAGAACTGTATTATCCTAAATAGGTAAATTGTAATTACAACCATAGTTTAAAAATGTATTCCACTTTGAACTTATAGATAAATTGTTTATTTAAATTTAAAGTAGAATATAATACAAAAACCCTACTAGTGGGACCACAACAGGTATTACTAATTTTCTAGCTACTTACATTGTAGTTTAGAGAAATATTGATAGTTTTCAATATTAAAATTAAAAAGAAACCATCCCTTGTCTAAAACTATTCTTTTGTATAATATAATTTTACCATATCCTATAGTAAAAAGATATAAAATAAAAATTGACCAAGTTTAAGACGTAAAAAAAACCATTAACTTAAAATTAAGTTTAAAATTAATTAATTATCAAAGTACCGCGGAGCTGTCGAGTTTTGAGAAAAGGGAACATTTTGTACGTCATATTATAATTTGGAGCAGTTAAAAATTGAACATGGAAAGTTTATAATTCATGTATCAAAGAGATCTGCTTCGAAGTCAAAATGGTAGTTATCTTTATAACAAAAGGAGGGTAGGGTCTAGAATAATTTAATGTCATGGACATATGTTTACGCTTCGACAAATTGGGGCTCGGCAGTAGCTGGATCTTCTTCAGCTTCTTCTAATTTAGCCTTCTTCTCGCTGTCTTCAGATTCAACTGCTGCTTCAGAAGCACCAGATTTCCTCTTAACACCCTTTTGACAACTTTCAGTTTCTTCTTCGTCTAAAATAAATAAAAATAAAAATTTATCTTTATTCAATTAAATATATATAACTAAAACAAACCTTTGGTGTCACCATTCTGTTCTTTTTCAACTACATCCTCTTCTTCTTCTTCTTCTGAAGCACCATTTTCTTTAACTTCATCATCTTCCTCTTCGGCTTTTGTGGATCCATTTTCAGCAGCCTTTTCTTTCAATGGAGATTCAACTTTCTTGGCTGGAGAATCTGGCACCTTCTTATCTTTTACTGGCGAGTCTGCTACTTTCTTTTCTGGGGTAGTGATAGTTTCACTAAAGTAAATAAAAATATACATAAAATATTTTTTCTAAACATTACAAAAGCAACAAAAATGATTAAAACCTTAATTTGACCAAGTTTCATACTTAAATGATACGATTAATAATATATATTTAAGCAAATAAGATCTAGAAATAACAACATGTGATAATTCTAGCAGGTGGGCACTGACTGTATAATATAGACATAGACGTGGTGGTGTTCACTGCACAGTTGAAACTGAAATAATTGCCTTATTCATTTGAAAAGTTTTGAAAGTCATAATAAATTTATCAAATACCCAACCAATGCATCTACTAGTACCTATATTTATCAAACATTGAATTTGTTTACATAACAAACAAGGGAATTAGCAGACACATGTGGAAAACACTTTAATTGTCTACTGTGTTAATATTAACACCAACTAATGGGGCAATTACTTGGAAAGTGATTATAAGAACGAGGGGTCAAAATGCAATCAGCTGACCTCTGTTAATTGTAATTTGATGAAGCATAATTGCATAAGCAACAAAATGCATACGTTATCGATAAAATAAATGTTTTTTTTTTTGCGAGGGTCTTGACAAGCGTGCAGCTTGTAGATAAGCAAACCGCTTCAGATAGACGTCTAATGATTCGAAAAAAATACGACACGGAGTCTATTGACAAGGTCGGAAAAAGCGACACACTTCGAATTAACAACCGCGTTCTCTGTCAGACCATGTGATTTCCACGCCTGTCTGTGACAATCGTAAAAAGCCGGATATCCGATAAGAAATCGAATTTTAGGTGAAACGGTAAGCTCACGTTCAACTGACAAGGGTAAACATTCGATTTCAAACTTACTCCGGACGAGGAGTCGTCACGGGTCGGGGAGTCAATGATCATCGGTAGCGGTCAAAGACTCGCAGCGAGCCGAAGTCTCGGCACGGCATTGGCGTCGCCGAAGTATGCACGTAATCGCGTTGGACAGGGAAAAAACGGCCCCCCACGACTATAGACGACGTTAGCACCCGCGGCTACAACGCGTCGGCGCGAAGACAGTGACAAAACATAAGAATAGTATACACACACTCTGAATAGTAATAATAACCGTAATAATAGTTTAAAATAATAATAATATTAACAATAATAAAATGAATAATGCTAATAAGACTTACCTAACATCAGCTACAACGTCGGCCATTGTGTGCGGTATTTTTAGAGTTCGTAGACAGAAGGGCAAGCGAAAAGCGAATAGGAACTGTGTTGTGCGTTCGGTAACGGACTCGGAATAAATAAACAGTAGAGCAAGCGCGACAAAGGGAAGAGACGCGGCGTTTGCGTTTCGCGAATGAGAAGAAGCGTCGGTAGCGGCGGCAACAATGGAGGGAATGCCGCCGGACGCCAACCGCGACGCGTACCCGTCACTATCGACTTCACGCCGAAACTATCGATATCGCGTCAGACCACGTCTGCCGATCACTCAACCCGTTCCGGGGCTCAAAAATTCCCGCAAACTGATCAATAACCACGGACGTATCTTTTGGCCGTCTTTCATTGTGAAAATTTTCGTTTTAGACCGTATTTGTAAGTCACAGATCATGAAAATCGAACGACCATCGATCGCGATTCCGTGGATCAGATCGGCGTGGGTGAAAACCGTTGAACCGGCAGAGCGCCTGCGCAGTGACCTCGATTGGTCGGGCCAATCCGACTAACGACATCCGGGCGGCGTGACCAACTGTATTTGTTGCCCGGTAAACAATTCCACGGTTGGCAACTCCAGTCGGCTTTTATTTTTTGACGACGCTCGCGACCCCTCCGACCATCAAGAGTTCACAACCACCCACCTCCGCCGTGTAACGACAATTTCGCTCGCTTTTTACACATCTCTTTTCTTACTACATTATTTTTTAGCTGTACGTTTTATTATTATTATTGTACATTTATGCCAACCACTTAAACGTCTTAAACATTTATAAGCGAATAATACATTACATTATCGGATTTTTTATGGCGGGATTACAACCATAATGACGGAAGAGAAAAGTCAACAATATAAATTTTATTGTGGTACATGGTATATTTGCCATTTCACGTTTGGCTCATATATTATGTTTTAGTCTCCACCGCCGCCACACCACCTATTCATACCATCTTTTCGCAATCGTCAAAATGTATAATAATGTGCAGTAAATATTCTAAAAACTATTTATGAAATACTAAAGCGATTGCTTATCTCTTCTTCCGTCCGAACGATCAAAATATTCTATTATTGTGAGCGTCGATAAACCATTCTCGGCCTTATTGTACAGTGAAAACTGTCTAACGCTGAATAGCTTGGGACCAAACAAAAATTCCCCTTTAAACAGTTTTCCGCTTTATTAAATAAAACAAAAAAATTCCGGATAATATAAATTCGTATCAATTTTTCACGTTTAAAAATTAGTTTACAACATTTTTTACAGTTTATATTTTTTGATTTACAGACTCACTGTTATTGCTGTTTTTCTAATATTATATGTATTTGAATGGACATCACTTAGTATGTACAAGCAAACTGTTCAGTGTAAGACTGTTGGTGCATAACTGTGTTTCACACCTATACATTATACATACGGGATAAGTTCCGTTTTATTGAGGTTCACGTCTATATAAAACTATAGGAACATACCGGGACCATAGAAAATGTTGTATTGAATAGTTTTCTGTTTTATTCAGGGTCCGCAATACACAGTTTTCAATGTATTATTACTAGATAACCGTTCCTGTTTTCGCTGTATGATACTAAGATCAATAGTATCCGAAATCCCGTGTAATATGTTCTCTACGGACATGGCGTTTTTCATCGTACACTCTTATATGTGTTAGAATGTCCAGTATTCTATAATTTTGAAATGTTATTATTAAGTGCTAAAATAATTAAAAAACAGTACGAATTTTCACAACTTATACATTCTTAATCACTCCCAATAAATATTTTATTAGTTAGTGATATATTATTAGAAATATGTGTCTTATCATAATATAGTTATTAATACTTGGATAACCGAAAGCATTTTCTGCTAACTGCGATTAAATAGATATTTTTGTTCGGAACTTCCCAAGTTCAAGCTAATCTGTTGCTCCTGCTGCAATTATATTGGTAATTGGATATATCAACCATATACATTAATGCTTATATTATGTTATACAAAATAACGAAATGAACGAGAAAGTAAATATCCTCCTACCAATCCCCACCATATAGCCGGTTATTCCGTACACGATAGTCGTAACTATCTACAATATTTTAAATAATTTTTTTTTTTTCGTCTTTCAAGTGTTCGTGACACACACCGACACCGTGTTCTTTGGCATAGGCGCATAGCAGCTGCAGGACGCGTGCCAGATGCCGGCGGTGTAATAATATAATATTATAAAATATAAAATCCACAAAGGACGCCACACGAACGCCGACGATCGATTTATTAACGGAAATAACCGAACATTATTATATCAATATCATTATTTTAGGCTACTACGCTAGGCGGCTACATCACAACATTTATAGATTATTAACTATTTAGATAAGAAAATCAAAATATGTTGTGATGATCACTGTAGTTGTCTGTTGCAATTATATTATTCTTCGAAAGTAAAAATAAAAATTCGGAAAACCCTCAAGATAAGTTTATTTTGTTTGCGTCTAGATAATTATTCCTATTTTCCGAACAAAGAAATACAATTCTCCACTATTCAAACCAATATTATCGAATGAAAAAAATAGCGAAAATATTATACCTATAAAGCGGCTATACAAATAAATATAGTGTAGTTCAAGTTCAGTACATTTTCGAGGGTTGCTGACTACTGATTAACTGATAGAGGGTGCTGTTTGGGCAAAGGACCCTCCCTGAAAGCTGTAACAGTGCAACACATTATTATTTCCCCTCAATTCCCAAATCCTTATTCCTAACCTAGGAAATACATAATAATATTACACTACTCCACACAATTTCCATTTTCCTACGTAAAAAATGTTGATAGTCACTAGTTAGTACTCTGAAGCATATTTATATTTTATTTATGAATTATAATGACGTTCTGTTAATAAACCATAGTATCATACGCAGTCTAAGGTGGACAATTGACTGGCAAACGAAATAAATCCATTGTAAACTTATACAATATTATGGTAATACAATAAACTGAACAGTCCGGTGAACAGAATTAACGAAATGTACGTGTTTTAACGATCTAAAAAACAGAGTTCACAAAAGTGTATACATAACTTTATAGTATACAGTATATTATATAGAATAGTAGGTGTACCATGACATAGAAATCCACTGAGGAGAACGACGGCGATTATGCGGCCATTGTACGTCGGTACACTATTCTGTTTTATACATGCAACAGCGCAAAAAATCAAATCGAAAAAAATATGATTCTCAGAATTGTATCTAAATCTTTATTGTATTTATAATTATAAACATATTTAATACGTTTTCGACATATTTTCACGATAAATTTTATAACTTATCATAAATCAATCTCCAAACACAACACGTAAGCACTGTTCTTCCGATTTAGTTTTGTTTTTAATTATTTTCACTCGAAAACGACTAAAATCCTTTAATTATAAGCGACGGTATTCTTAAAACGCCCACTTGCCACAAGTTTTTTTTTTTTTTGTCGCGTTGTGTTACACGTAATATTAACGTATAATAATATAATACATATATATTTATTGAAGTGCACTCCACGTTTTACAATTTATGCTATCGTGCACGCCGACGCAACGAGACCGTCAGACTCGATCGGCGCACGCCTTGGCATCGTTTTGCGAAAAAATGTTATGTATTTTTTTTAAACATATATTACCCATATAGGTACTATATCGTTAAAATCGTATCGTGTAGTCAGAAAAAGAACGGTTGATATAATATTATGATGAGTAGTTCTAATCGCATTTAATTTTCGCGTCATAAGCAAGAATAATAATATAGCAATTCTAAAAAGATCATGATATTAAATGATGCCGACCAGAGTGCAGCGTTACAGCCTATCGGTGACAAGAAGATTTCACGCCAAAGTATACTTATATAGTTATATATAATTTTTTTTATGGTCATTGGTCGCCACTACTAGTGACCCGAACACAATAAATGCATTCTACATTTCTGTATACTTTATTAGTTTATTTCTATTATAGTATAATTATTATATTTGAATCACGCGTTAAATTATTAAAAATATATGTATATATTATCAGTATGAAAAATTAATTCACATTTGAAATATTTCAAAAAAATAAACATTTTCGTTTTAATCGAACTGAATATTTGATAGTTTTTAATCAAACAAACTATTAAACTGGACGCGCGAATAAAAATTGATTTTTCTCGATTATAATTATCATTGAAATACGATTTTAGACTAATACGTTATAATATGGAAAATATCATTAAATAAGTCGTTTTTATTGTCTTAACCGTTATGATCAGCGATCAATTATAAAAACGTTCAAAATCTTCTAAAATTGATATTTTATTAAACATTAAGTAATTTAATAGAAAATAGCATGAAATATAGGAATATTTACGTCTGAAAATCTAGAAAGAAACGATGGAAAATGAAACACGAATCATGAATGGTTTGCATATATTAACAAAATAAATAATTATGACACCGTCAAGTCTACCATTTTGTTTCCCTAATCATGGAGGAAACAACATTAACATGTTTATCTCTGGTATTACCTACCACAGAAGAAATATGAAATAATATTGAAATCATAATTTAAAATAAACCCACGGACTATGAAATAAAATATTATATCAAAGTATATTTTAAATGAGTAGATAATCATTATTTAATTATTAAATTATCCTTCAATCTTTAACTGAAATACTTGAAAAAAGATAATTCTTGATTTGTGTAACGGTCTTTGATCATTCCATGTCCTTAAATCTTGGTTGAAAAATTAATTATATACATTGGTAGTATAAGAATACAATTTTAACTGGCAATTCTCATCTCTCGTATCAGCTGATATCTTTTATTCATTTTTAATAAGCTTATTGAGTGTGTACTTTTATGAAATGAAAAAAAAATAAAAATTTTTAATAAGCATCTCAAACTTTTAAGTCCTCATTTAACTGAAAGAGTGGAAAGTGGAAACGAGAAAATAAAGAAGTTTATCTTTATCGAGGACACAGTTGCATACAATTTCGACAGTCGTACTCGTACGGCAACAACTTGAATAACTATTAACTTGAACACAGAACGACAGAACAACTGTTTATCGTAATTCGTAATATTGTGCATACAACATATATTATTACTCTATGGTATTAGCATAGTCTATATTTAAAAGTCTTTGGCAACAATGTTAAATATTATACATCAACCATGGTATTTGAAGTCTCTTATCATTATCATTTATCACTCGATCCAGCAACAATAATATTACTGTGATATTATTACAATAACTTTACTGATTTTCTGACATGTGACTAGAATGTTATTACACTACTTATAAAAACAAATAGGTATTACGATATACGGCATTATTAAAATAGATAGTCGTTATTTAATGTTTTGTCAAAACCATGGATGCTGTCGATGCATTACTGAGTCAGAGCGTTTTGAAACCCGGTTTCCAAAAAAGTTACAAGGTACCAGTTAACGAAAAGAGCTCAAAGATCATCAAAAGAAATAATAAGGTATTTCAGCTGTTTATTTTGTATGGTAGTATGGTTTCATTAATTTAATAATAATTAATAATCTAATCAAGAATTCGATGCAATGTTAATTGAAAATTTGAAATCAATGATATCATTCATTTTAAAAACACACATTTAATAGTTGATCAATGACTACATAAAAGATAGATTAATAGATTCAATAGAATAATTAAATAGAATAATAGTAATAGAATAATTTTTTTTTATATTTAATAGATTAATAGATCTCTTAATAGATTCTATTTTAATTAATTACTGTATATGATACTGTTTGTTGTTGGTATCATACTCATCATACTCTATTAAAGTACTGAAGTAAGTTAAATTCCTTTTATAATATAATTTATAGACTTATTTTTAATTTATAGCTATTGCCTATTAATGTAATAGTATGTATCAACAAGCTAAAAGAGTAATAATCTTCTGATAATTTTAGAAGACTTATTATTTTTTAGTTCTCCCATTAAACATGTAATTGCAGTTTTACTTTATTTATATTTAAAATTGAGCAATGCAAAGTGTGGTTGTATATCAATCAAAAATTATTGTTAGTACTTGATCTTAAAAATCTAATATACAATGTATTACAATTAATGTATAAATAATATTTAGTTAATGGATAACAAATTGTATACAATATGATGTATTTATTATTTATAAAAAATACTGTTTTGCTTAAACTTAATTATTACATGTATGTTTTATATTTTGTGTTTAGAAAGAAGAAGCAAAAACTAAAGGTAAAGATTGGTTTAATTTACCAGCAACTAAATTGACAGATAATGTTCGACACGATCTCGACTTGATCCGTATGAGATCAGCATTAGATACTAAACGTTTTTATAAAAAAAATGAAACTGAAGCATATCCTAAATATTTTCAAGTAAATTTATAAAATATTTATTCTAAAAATATTTTTCTAAAATGTATTTGTTATTTATTTTTAGATTGGTACAGTAATAGATTCACCATTTGAAAGTAAATCTGGTCGTCTCACCAATAAGGAACGAAAACGTACAATGGTTGATGAACTTTTAGCAGATGCAGAATTCAAGCAAAACACTAAAAAACGTTACAAGAATATATTAATGGCTAATCCTAAAATGGCATCTAAAATAAGAAAAGAAAATAGGAAAATGAATAAATTAAAAAAGAAAAGAAAGTAGTTATTTGTTTAAAAACATCTATTTTTGTACATTTGAAATAATATAAATTTATTGTTTGGTTCATTTGTTACGTATTTATTTAATTCACTTAAAGAATTAAAATGACTTTTTTAAACTATTTCATTGTAAGGTTGTTTGCCCTCCAAATGAATAAAACTATATTTTAAAGCTTAAAACTGTCAATATTTTCAAGAAAAATAATTTTAAATTTATAAACACATACTAATTATGTACTGACTTGTATCAAGGTTTGATTCCAATATGAATTAGTACATATTATTGTTGATTTTACAAATTTAATTTTTTGAAATCTCAATTTTGAACTTATGTTTTGAAACACCAATTTTTTCCATAAAAATCTTGAATCATACTTGATTTTATGTAAATTAAACATAGGAAATAATATTATTTTTGCGCATTCATGAGACTTAACAAAATAAAATATGTTAACCCCATAACCAGTCCTCAAACTTGATGCACTAAAAAAAATCTTAAAAATATGCAATTATTTCTTTATGTGTAAAAATTAACTTCATAAAATAAAATACCTAAAAATAGTTAAATAAACTAAATATTCATTTTATACTTTATTAAAATGAAAACAATTATTAATTCTATACTGTGATTTAAAATATAAACAAATATCAGATTTCTTATTAAACTATGCAGTTTAATTTAATAGTTTTTTTAGCCCTTATTGAAAATTAAATTGTTTAATTGTATATAAAATATTACTGAATCTTAGCAAAACTATTAATATTTAATTTGTTATTTTTCGTAATAAATAAGTGCATTTTAAAATTTAGCAGATGAATAATTTTAAAGTTATTTTAAATTTTAATCATGATACATGAAAAATAATAAGTAAAGTTATAAATTGAAACATCTGTAATTTATAAATGTTGGATTTTTTTGCGGCGCCCCATAGTTGGAGTACACTGTAGGTTCAAATAAGCTTCAAGAGGGTTTTATAGAGAAATAATTTATTTTTTAAGTTAAGTTTAGAATGTTTGCCTAGTAGAGAATATAAGAATTTTTGTCTCAAGTTTAATAGGAGAAACTTTTGTTTTATGTGCTCAGCCCAAGTTAACTGCTTATTGAAAATCAAACCTAAGTACTTGACATTAGAAATCGCTGGAATCATTTTATTGGACAGAAGAAGAGAAGGGAGAATGCTTTACCTAAGAGAAAAATTTGTTTAAAATTTATTTGATAGATAGTATTTTTTAAAGTTTTTTACGCGTTTTTTTTGTTGAAAATGTTCTTTCGAGAGTCTATGTCAAAACAGATAGGTAATGTACATACAATTTTATTGTTTTATAAATGTTAAATCACACAACAAAAATGATTCAAGACTACTTTTTGAATCAATGTTGAGCCTAGCAAATTTAACTTTCAAGGGAGAGGAAGGTATAGTGGGTGGTGGTAGAGGTGGTAAGAAGAGAAGAGTAATGGTTAGAGGTGGTGATGGTGGCAGGAGCAGAGAGTAGGTAGGATCAGGAGCAAGTTTTTGAATTGGCTATTCCATACTTCACGTTGATTTTTGTGGAAACGACTTAAAAAGTGCCCAACTTTTTTAAGGTAGTTATGATACACTTCTTCGGAATTATTTATATTAAAGTAGACTCCTAGAGACAAATAATTTACAAGATAAATAAGATAAATTTATAAATAATTGTATAATAATTTTATTGTATAGGTACACTTATTTTGACTTATGCTGATCGAAATTTATATTGGAATAATTAGTATGCATTTTTCCATTATCCTAAAAAATTTAAAAAGGTGTGATGAATATGTTCAAATAATATTATGTAATATAAATGTAGTTTTTATTTAATATTAAATTGATTAATCATAGATTATTTCTTTGTCATCGATTATCAAAATATAATACACCTAGGTTTGACTTACTTTAAATGAATTGAAATACAATAGTTAAGAATTCTGAATATAGTTAATTTTTATCGTTTCTTCTTTATAAGTCCTTATTTTGATTTGTTTTCCAATAAAAATACACTATACAAATAAATTGATATCAAGTAATTTGTATAAAAACATTTTATAAACCATATTTTATATCGAAGCATAACTATAATAATGTATATACATCGTTTGTGTTTAGGTTTTTCGGCATATGTAATAAGATCTCTGGTGCCACCTTTATCCCTAATTCCAACATTTTGTTGACTAAAATGTTTGTTGGACTAATTAATTGGCTATTATCATAATTAGAACTAACCCAAGGCGGCGTAGTATCAATCGCATTTGCTGTTTGTAGCTGATCACTCATTTTGAAAAAGTCTCCAGTTATGAATGTATAATCTTATTGTACACATTACACATTTTTGCATTATTCTTTGCCAACTGAATTTTCATTGGGTCGATATCGATTACTATAACTAAATTGTATAAAGATTTTAATAGCTATTATTAAATTATTATTTGTTTAGAAAAAAAACTTAATATTCTATTTTGAAAAGAAAGAAAACAATGAAATTTACACTAAGAAAATAATAATATATTTTGTTAGTACCCGAATCGCAAACTATAGCAAGTTGAATTATATTTCCACCTGCTCCACAGAATGGGTCTACAACCACCTTCATCCCCACACATTGAGTTTTGATTGCCCATTGCCCACTAATGATTTCCGGGAAAATCGAGCAAAAAATGTCTATAAAAAATATTACATACAACTATCATGATCATGTATATAGCAAAAATACGTGATTGTAAGTGTGTTGCATACTCAGCATTTATGTTTATTACACGTTATGCTTATATTAAAAATAATTATAAATATCATGTTACAATATGATCGGTACACTGTCCATAGATATTTAGTAAGTAGATAGATTGAATACAAATTCATTACGATTTAGAGAGTTAAAAATAAAGGACTATAAAATACTTTATGTCATTATTCATAGTAATATTACACAACATTAAGTATATTATGATAACTATAATTTACTCTCGTCCAAAAGGACTCTGTCGTTGAACCTATACTTAAAAACCTACTTTAATGATAGCAAAATGTAAAATGCTTACATTTACATTTATGTTAATATTGTATTACATGTATTTACATCGCTACTTTATACTTGTATCATATATTTCGTTGTGGACGACAATAAATTATTTTTTAAAATGTTTTTATTTACTGTAATCTGTACTGTTAGTTAAGAAATTATATACTTTATATAACCAACATAAACAAATTTTTTGACAGAATCAATATAGACAAAATATACCGGACGAAATCGATAGCTGCCGGAATCAATAAAATTCCAATTTATAAAATCGACTACCGACTGTTTTGTGTCATAACATCAAATTAAAATATTATTTAAGTGTCTAATAATAGATTGTTATTGATTGACTACAACCGCTATAGATGCCAGTCGATGACGATTAAAAACTATTTGTGTGAATTAAAAATATTTTAATTTATAACAATTTACTGTCATCTGCCAGACTGTGACAAACTTGTCAAATTGTTTTATTAAATATTATAGTGTAAGGTGATACGATGTCAAAGTAATTTTGATTATATTTATTATACATTTTAATAAAATAAAATCTTTTTTTTTTTATCGTTAACTGAATGTCAAAACCTAATTTCAGTAAATATACAATATACATTACCTATTCAGGTTTTAGACTACCTCCTCCCGAAAAAATCTTCTAGATACAACCTTGAAGACAGAGATAATTCATGGAATTTCAAAATCATGGCTTAAGTCACATACCACTTCTTAGGCTCGCGTGTTCGTGTGGTAGTCATACAATGCGTAGATAAGAATATTACAATACAAGAAATCCTACTACGATGGCAACAACCTGTTCTTTAAATACCTAATTAGTATGGTTTTTAAATTTTAATTATATATTTTGAGTATGAATTGTGTTATTTATTTATACTACAGTAATACAATATTGACGCATAGTCCTTGTAAATATCTATACAAGCCAGGTAAGACATGTAGATAGTAGATAAGTATTTAACATATTAAGTATTGTAAGCCGCAAAGTGCATAATATGTTCAGTTATCAATATCTAACCTAAATAGTACTTATCTTTCGAAGTTATAAACATTAGTAAGAAAGCAATTACGTAATTTCATTATCTCCAGCACTTTTTTTTTGTTCAACAAATTGTAAATCTAAATATTTGTACGTATTAACAATAAATCAATACTTGAAGTGTTGAACTTATCTGTAAATATTTCAATTATTAATTAAGTTCAAGTTGAGCTTAGTCATTTAAATTTTAGTTATTAGATCGTCTGCTTGCTTGATAAAAATATATTATACATTTTTAGAACCATTATGAAATTATTAGTTTAGAAACAATATTTAAAACAGTTAAGTTTGAAAATATTGCTCATTAAAGTATCAAGGTAAAACTAAAATTTTTATTTAATATGCTGGAGTAAAAATACGAAGACTAAGTATTTTTAAAGTATTTAGGTACATACAAAATACAAGTATTCGAATACTTAATTAGACTTTTAGCAATTTAAACATTTTACACATAAATATATATTTACAATTTATTTTTAAAAGCATTGACGTTCAAATTTTGACAAAGTCATTAAAATTTTCAAACTATTTTTATTGTAAAATGTTGAATTAACAACAAAAGTCTTAAATATGTACACCAATGACAAAAAATAAAAATAAAAAATAAAACGTTATTCCTCAAATTGATTTTAGTTATTTTGTTCTAATTCAAAAAATATTAATCATTGATATTTGAAACTTTTTGTCATTATGGTTAGTATATTATCATTTTCTAGACAAATTGCGTTTTTCAAAATATTAAGACTGATTTTTAGGCTTTTAGTTATTTTTACCAAGTATTGGTAAAACGTATATTGTCATAATTATTCTATGTATATGGTATGTTATTATATCAAGTTATAACTAGGGCTTGGGTTAATAGATATTTATTATATCAGCTAAATATGGGCTAAAATACTCAAAATATGTTATAATCACTTATAACTCCATTTTATTTTTTAATATTTAATTGTGTCTTATGGAATCTTAATGAAAAAATAATTAAATATCAGTAGCTAAATAATAATAATAAAAATGATTATTTATCTCGGTTGCAATTCATAACAACATGTATTTAGTATTATTTAATTTTCCAATTCAAACGATTGTTGATTCTGTCGTAAGAATAGTTTTTATACCGAGTGAAAAAACTTTCAACTTCAATTGATGTTATTGGAAAACATTGCATGTTGACTTTATCCGAAGAAAAAATGATATTTTAGCCGACAAAATTGTACCCGGAAATAATTGAAAAACATAATACAGTGAAAATTGTGTAATGCGGACCCTGAATAAAATGGAAAACTTATCCAATACGGAATTTTTCTATGGTCCCGGCATGTTCCTATAGTTTAATATAGACGTTGAACCTCAATAAAACGGAACTTTCCTAACGCGGAAACGGACCGGTTTTGTAGGTCCAATTCAAGAAAAACCTTGCATAAGCCGGAAATATGACACGCGTCATGTTACGTTGATATGAATATGATGGTACATCGCAAAACGATAACTAAGATAAAACTCCACTACATATATTACTTAGGTAATTTGTATTTCTTGGTTATCGTATCTGCGATACAAACTTATCCCGTATGTATAATGTATAGCTGTGAAACACAGTTATGCACCTACAGTCTACACCGAACAGTTTGCTTGTACATATTAAGTAATGTCCATTCAAATACATATGATATTGGAAAAACGGCAACAACAGTGACAAAACAAAACCTCTACATTGGAAAAGCTAAATGTTTAAATTTAATTCTCAACCTTCATACTTATGTAGGTAGTTTATATACAATGTTAATAATTTTGTAAGAAAATAAGTCTATAATTAATCTTAAACAAGTTATATAAAGTAAGTAAAGTAATAAATTAATTTTATAATTAGTCTGTAAATCAAAAAATATAAACTGTAAAAAATGTTGTAAACTCATTTTTAAACGCGAAAAACTGATACGAATTTATATTATCAGGAATTTTTCTGTTTTATTCAATAAAGCGGAAAACTGCTTAAAGGGGAATTTTTGATTGGTCCCATGCTATTCCGCATTAGATAGTTTTCACTGTAGGTACTAATTTACAGTATAATACATTGAATACCACGATTGTTAGTCAGCACGGTGCCTACCCGTATAACCACGTCAAAAATGCGTCCGGTCGACATCACCGACTCGTCGATGTAATACTACACAAGTCGTTAATTATTATTGGTTTACTTGTGAGAGGCTTTCAATCAATTTGTACTCTGGAGAAACACGCAGCATGCAACCAGAAAGGCACTCTGTGTGTTAAATTTTCAAAATTGTTTAACTCTACCGAGATAAAATGGAATAATAAATTGTGAAACACGTAAAAACGTGTAATTGTGACAAAACATATAAAGTCGAATTAAGCCCATTTCATCAAAAATCTCGTGTAACGAATTAATCACTTGGTTACTTATTGTAATTTGTAATGACTAATGTTAATAAATTATAGTACTAAATCACCTATATTAATTAGAAACGGAGGTTACAGCGTCTCCGCGCAGAATCAGTTTTCGAATTCCAATCATAAACTTTCATTATTGTGGCCTACTCATTGACAGATTTATTTATTTTTCAAATTTTATGTTTATTAAACCATTCGTAATCCGCCGTCGCCCAACAACTGTTTAATTGTACAATATTTATATTATGTTTCAAAAACCAATAGATACAGTTATAATTTTATTCACAGAATCCTTATTACATGCTGCAGGTTGTAGACTTTCGTCGTTAGATGGCGTTGCTATATACGATGTTGGTTTTTTACTCGAATTCAGATTCTAAGCAGATCAATGGGATGTGTTGATTTTACAATGATGTTTTTTTTTTTTAAATTTTTATTTACCTATCATCATTTTTTGGAATAGTAAAAATGCTTCGATATTCAATTTTGACGGTAAATATTGGATATAGGAAATTTTTATGCAAAACTAGTTTTCCATAAAATTGACGTTCGGTTTTTTCGATGACTAATCTTAGGCACTTGAATTTATCACGAAATGTTATTATTTTTAGTTATGATAAAATATAAAATTATTCAGAATTGAATTTTTAAACATTTTTAAAGCTGTTTTTTTCGATTTGTGTTTATAACATTTTTTTTAAAAAGATTCACAAATTATAATTAATATGATTAACATAAAACCATTTTTAAACGAAATCATAATTTAAAATAATTGTATAGGTACCTCAAAATTTATAAAATATTCCAAGATATTATGTTAAGTAACAAAGCATTCCCAAATCCCTGAAATATTCTCAGCTATGCAAGAACAACTATTTTTCTTAACTTGGTCGAATGTATAGACACTACAGTCTATATAACTGTCTATGTAACTGGTTATGATTTACGGTTTTGTCTTTAGATAGCAAATCGGTGGTCCAATCAGTAAAATTATGTAGTAGTTTTAACGGTAAACTGATAGTAAATAAGAAATATACATATTATTTGTCTAAATTATTACTTTTATAATACAATGTCAAGTGGTTAAATATTTTTTATAAATTTAAAACGTTAACTTAATAATAATCAATCGCCATAAGTATACTAATTTAAATTAAATTATTAGCTTCTATTTAATTTTTATTTTATAATGTATATAATGTTCAATTTTGACCTTATATAAAAAATCAATATATAAATGTGTTACATGCCAATATCAGATCCAGATCCAGGGTGTTATTAAAATGAAATTTATACTTGAGAATTATTATTATTGATTATTAAAGGGTATATATATATAAAAGTTATTGTTGATTTAAAACGTATCAAATGAGTGTGAAGGAAATTTATGGAGAACACAGGTACATCTCTTTTGGAAGTAGCTAATCCATTGAATAAAACATCTGCAGATATTTCGGAATTGGAATTATTATATAAAACCCAACAGTTAATTGATTTAGGAAGCCCTAGTAAAAACCCTAGCCCTACTAAAAACTCAAAAGAACGCCCTAGTATTTTTAGAAGTACAAGTGAACGCCATAGATCGAATATAAAAAGTGAATTAGTTAGAAGTTCAAGTTTAGATAATCAGAAAATCACTCATAGTAAAGTTACAGATAATTTTGAACATATTGAACTAACATACGAAAGGAAACCACGTGTAAAGAAAATGGTTACCATAAGATTAGAGGAGTTATTTAACAGATGCTTTTGAGGATATGACGACAGCTTCAAGTTTACAAATACAGTTAAATTCTATTAAAATGCGTAATGGTGAGGATGTAAATGATTATTGTCATAGAGTAGAAAAATTATATTATAAATTATGCACTGCATGTACACTTAACAAAGAAGAATCGGAAGCTAGACTAATACATGAAACTTTAAAAGAACAAACACTAAATATTTTTATAAAAGGATTAATAACTCCAATAAGAACAATTGTAAAAGCACGTAATCCTAAAACTTTAGAGGTAGCTAAGCGATTGGCTAAAGCTGAGGAGGTAGAGTATAATACAGAGAGAGAAAATTCTAGATATAGAAACGATTTTTCTAATAATAAAGGTTCTAATAATAATTATAGACAGAATAACAGTTGGCAAAATAATAATTTTCAACGTACAAATAATACAAAATATAATAATATGAATAATTATTCTAAAAATTTTTAAAAGTGGTTGGTACCAGGAAACCAGGTAGGCCTTGTACATGTAAAAATAAATGTTTTTCTAAAGTATCCGAAGGTGACAGGGCTAGTCTTTTGAATATTTTCAATAATATTGGAGAAAAAGAAAAACAAGATACATATTTATGTGGTTTAATTCAAGTAAAAGATATTGTGCGTTGTAGACCTAGAACTGGTGTTAAAAAACCTAAATCCGTTACTAATAAGTTTATTTTGAATATTAATTGTATAGAATATAATGTTTGTAAAAGAGCTTTTATATCTATATATAGCATAACTATGGCAAGAGTAGATAGATTAGTGTATTGTAATAAATCAAATAATCCTAGTCCTAAGGATTTAAGGGGAAAACATTCTAACCGCTCAAATAAAATCCCAAACAACATTTTAAAGCAACTCGATGACCATATTAAAAGCTTCCCAAATCATCAAAGTCACTACAGTAGAGAATCAAATGGAAACGTTACTTACCTATCACCAGATTTAAATAAAAAAATCATGCATAACCTTTATTTGGAAAAATATGAACCAGAAACTTACAAAAAAATACAAGACGGAGAAACTAATGTAGTACCGATCGTGTCCTATGATTTTTTTAGTCGCTACTTTTCTTTGAACTATAATATGTCCTTTGGTCATCCAAAGACAGATACTTGTCAGTTGTGTGACCTACTTAAAAATCAAATTAATTTTGAAACTGATGAAGTAAAAAAGTCAAAATTAATTAGTGAAAAAGAATTATATGTTGAAAAAGCTGAACTATTTTATGAAGATTTAAAAAAATATCAAGCCATTTCCAAAGTGATAGAAAATAAATGTGGGGTGTTGGCTTTTGATTATCAGCAGAATATGCCTCTACCACATGTCCCAGCTGGTGATGTGTTTTAAAAACGTCTATTTTGGGTTTATAACTTCTGTATTTTTTCGGGTAGAACTGGGAAATCTTATTTTTATATGTATAATGTTTATATGTAAAAAAGGCAAAAATGAAGTAATAAGCTTCATAAACCACTTTTTTAGCAATTACTTGGATCGAGGAGTTGATACAGTTTATATTTTTTCTGATAATTGCAGTGCCCAGAACAAAAATCATTGCTTAGTTCAATATTTATATAGTCCAGGAAAAAAAAAGGAATATGGAATTTCAACAATCCAGAACCAGGACACAGTTTCCTACCGTGTGATAGGAATTTTGGACTTATTGAAAAACAAAAGAGGCGGCAGGAAAGAGTATTTTTGCCTGTGACGTATCAAAATATTGTTTCTAAGACTTGTAAAAAGTTTTTTGTAATAAATGTTACTCAGGATATTATTTTGAACTACTCTGATCATTTTAAACAAAAATTCAAAGCGCAAACTAAATTAACCTTAATGTTGTACAGATGTATGATTTATTCATTAGAAGGATTATTAGTCAGTACAGCAGCAAATACTAATTTAACAGGTAACCATATAACTTTAGAAAAACCTTCAGCTACACTTGATTTATCAGATAAACTTATAAAAACTTTATAACAAAATATTGCCTATAAAACCAGATAAACTAAGAGACGTTCAAGACCTAGTCTCCAAATATGTACCACCTGATTGTCTTCATTTTTATTCATCATTAGTTACTTCTGAAAATGCTGATGAAGATGAGAAATAAATAAACCTAACAGCTAACTTAACCTAAAGATTTATACTTGACAAGAAGTCTAGTAATTTATTCACTATTAATATATATATATTGTTTTAATATTATTTTGTTTATAATAATTTATAATATTACTAAAAGTTTTAGTTTTATAGTAACTTAATGTGATTATATCAATATTTTAAGACTGATCAAGAGATTCTTTTTTTATTATTAACTGAAAATAATAAAATGTTATTTAATATTTATTATAATCTTATACTCGACAAGAAGTCACTATTAATATTTATGTTTTTTTTTTTTAAATATATATTCTGTTATGTTTATAATAATATTATAAACCTATTGTTAAATGTTTTAGTTGTATAATAACTTTTTTTTTTTTTCCTGTTTTAACCGACGACGCCGCGGGATCTGCTTTCGCATTGCTTCCGCGGCGCCGCCATCGTTTATTGACGGTATCAAATGTTATACATACATGGGAGGCAGACGGGACAGCTCCCCGACTCAACCCGTTTAAGCATTTTCAAAGTTTTGCATTAACAATTAAATTTTACGTTAACAAAGGTCAATCTGAATTTTATGCATTACAAGTTTTACTGGACTTCTTTCTAACCTTCTCGGGCCGACCGGAGTCCGCCGCCCTTGAATTCGCGTGCCTGTCATCCGATTGGCGAGCCGACCGGAGTCCGCCACTCTGGATGTTACGTTCTCCATCAGGGCGGTCGCACGTTCCCCTATGCCCTTCGCAAGGCCTCTTCCTCGCGTTCATCTTTTTCCTTGGTCGACAGAATCGTCTCGACCAGTTGTATAATAACTAAGTGACAACTATGTAACTATACAATATATTTTTTCAACATTCCTTATAACTGTTAATATTGAATTGTTAATAATGAATTCATATGATAAAATATTATAATAATGCATACATTTATTTTGCTATTTTGTAGGTACCTATACTAGGTTTATTAAAGGGGAGTATGTTTAATAACCTAATAGGGTGGTTTATATTACTCTATAATGGCATAATTTCTAGTTAACTATGTATTTAAAAAATAACTTGATACATTAAAATCTATATTTCAAATAAAAATCAATTAATCTTTAAAATTAATTATATGATTATTATTTAATAATACATAATAATATTTTATAATAGAGTGCTTATTGACCACAATAAAATATTTTGTTGGCTGTACTAACCAGTTACGTCCAAAAACAAAATTGGACGTAACTGGTTATTGCAACCATTAAAAATATAATTATCATAGTTTTTTAGTTTTTTATAAATATTATCATGAGTATAAAATATAAACCATGATACGGTTCGTCCGGATGGACGACCCGTTTCGTAAATAAATACACCTTTTTTATTTTGGGTATTACATGTTTCTATTTCGATAAAATAATTACAATTTATGGGCTGAGTAAAGCGTCGATTTGTGCCGACCAGACTTGTATAAGTGGGTCGACACAATCGGGGGCGCTTGGGTTTTAGCCGGGCAATTACCGGGCTCTAACTCAGAAGGGAGTATTTTGTATTACAATATATATATATAGGGTGCGGGATCCGGCCGATGTCGGTACAAACTTATATAAGCGGTATTCCGACAACGAACCTGGATCGGATAGGACAGCTTAATTAAGCGCCTGGGTGGGTATTGTGTTGGCCCTGACAAGGGCCGTTTAATTGAATCGTCACCGGGTGGCACGCCGACGCGGGCCTTATACCGTGGAGCGGTAACTACGTGGATAGTCAGCGCCGGGCGTCTGGATACGGCACCGTCTGTGGATCGTCGTTGCCGAATTATACACCAACACGGGTCTGATATCGTTGAGCGGTAGCCACGTGGAGAGTCAGCGCCGATCGTTGGGTTACAGCACCGTCGGTGAATCGTTGTCGTCCGATTGCACGTCAGCACGGGTCTTTTACCGTTGAGCGGTGGCCACGTGGGTGATCAGCGCCGGGCGTCTGGATGCGGCACCGTCGGTGGATCGTCGTCGCCGGGTTGTGCTGGCAGCCGTAGAGTGGCGTTTCGTTGTCGTCGGTCAGCGGTCTGAAGGTGGTCCTGGTCTTCTTATGTCTGGTTTCTTTGTTGAATGTTGACAGTTTGAAGGTTTGAAGAGGACTGACTAGATGGTCAAAAGTGTCCGGTATTTATACCGTCTTCGGCCATCTAGTCCGTTATTCATTGGTCCGCGTGATTCGTACTGACAGATACAAATCACACCGTTGCTCTGCTGTTTATATTTACCAAGTGTGATTTTTATCTGTCAGTCTTCCTTGTTTTACCCAATCGATATTGTTGGTCTTGAAAAAGACCTTTTTACTCATATCCATACAGTTTATTCCGTAACAACCATTGGAAATGGGTTTGAGTGATGTATCTTATTCTTACAAAAAAAATAATAATACGTTTTTAATTTTTGGTTAAGTTTCCAATTTAATAGATCGTTTTTTTCATTTCCTGAAATAACAGTTGTAGAAATAGCAGTAGTATACATTATAATTATTAGATCACATATATATTTATATGACTATTGCTAACACCTATAGCAATATTACACATTATATTATATATTAGCATATCTCGTAGCTCATAAACATTATATTATGATATATTTATATTATTAGTATATCTCGTAGCCCATAACAAATTAATATTTGAGAAAAAATTATTACTATTACAAATTAAGGTTGAGTTGGCGTGTTTTTCAAGTCAAAAATATATATCGGTAAAATTAACATTTTTTTTTTCACGGGAAAAAAGTGTGGAATTTACGAGTTAAAAATTCTACCCAAAAATCTATTACCTGTAAATCGGTGAAATTTACAATCGTCCATAGCCACTGCTGACTTAATATTATAGTATACATAAATATAATTTAAAAATGAACAAATGTAACCTAATTAGCCTGTTTATTTATATTTTAAGTTGAAACCTTCACACATGACTGATACTTATTTATCGGCAAATAGGTATGTTTTATTATAAACTATTATTAAAAACTTGTTTACTAATAGGTAACAAAAAAATAAAAACAACTGAGCAAAATTAAATTAGTTTAAAAATTCAGCGTGCTAAGAATAGACTACATCGATTCACTAAAGTTTCATTGTAACTCTAGTCCCTAATTACTGATTCATAATTTTGAATAACTAGATTTGAGGAACAACAAACAATTATAGAAATATTGGCCTTCGAAGAGTTTTTACATTGGAGTATAACATTTAATTACCCTAAAATATTATTTCAAATATATAATGACTTAACAAATTGGTAAATTATAATATTTACAAGTGTATTAATTGCTAATAAATTACAAATCCAGTAATATGTATACACGCGATCAGTTTGTCTATAAATATGTGGGTTGTTCCGAAATTTCGTACAGTTGTAAGCTTTTTGTACGATTGCGATAATGGCATTCAATATACACATATCTGGACCAAAAATGATTATGCATAACAAAACAATAGCAGAAATGTTTGTAAATCAATTGAATAGCAATGAAGGTCTTTTTGGTGTAAGATATTTTATATTGTACAATAATTACGCACATACAATTCTTACATACCTTTATATTATAATATACCTATTGTGTACTTTAGTATCTATTTAAATGTTTATAATATCCATGTATACAGATCGACTGTTCTACTGGTAAAGAGTATGGTTATCCAAAACTGAAAAAAGACGTTTTAGCAATGGTTACTGCATTTCAAAAACATGATCTTGGACACGGAGACGTCGTAATGATTATAGACTATGGCTCGTACGAAGGGCAAGTAGTTATATTAGCTGGAATGTTGATCGGAGCCACTATAGCTGCATTGGATCCTAGTTTAAGAAAAAGTAATAGTAATGATTATTTGGTACAATGTTGTTACTTGATTTGTTTCGTTTTATGTTTTACAGGTGTCTTGATATCGCTTATTAACGAATCCAAGCCAAGCGTAGTGTTTTGTAATACGTTTAGTATAAATATAATAACAGATATTTTAAATAATATTACGCATCAACCGATATTGAAAATTTCTACTATGGTTCATGATGGTTTTACTACTTATTTGAATATCGTTGTTTTAGCGGAAGAAATTTTGTTCGTCCATCCGATAAAATCAAAAAACACAAGAGGCCCATGTGCTATTATTTTTTCGAGTGGCACTACAGGTACTCCGAAAGGAGTATATTTGTCGGACGACGCTATGAAATCAGCTTTAATATCGTTCAAGCAGTAAGTACTTAAATAAAAGTCGGCCAATTAGTGCATAAATTTAGAAAAAAAAAAATATTAAAATTGAATGCGGTTAGGTAATTTGGCATTATTCTATAATATAGCATAAAATGTTTTAAGGTCATTGATGGAAGAACCTATCGAAAACAAGTTTATGATTACTTCTCCTTTATTTTGGTACACGGGAATATTATTAATGATGCTCGGTATTCATTTTGGCAAACCAAGACTATTCTTTTCGACAAAGTCAACCGTTGAACAAATACTTTGTTCAATAGACAAATTTAAAGTAAACAGAAAACATTACTATTAATTATTTCTTGACGTTTTTTGTTACACTATAAATGTAATATTAAGTTGCAATATTTTGTATGTAAAATTAAGTTAAATAACGCTAAATCAAATATATAATATATATATATATATACACACACACGTATAATATAATCCATTATATATATCATGTACAATATGATTTATGTAAGTTTATGGCGTTTATGTGTTATAGCCAACATTTATGATGACTGGTGTAGCCGCAATCAATGAAATGATGTCATGTCAAATGGCGAATGGTCACAAGTATAATATCCAGAGTTTAACGACATGCGTGGTTGGTGGGTCTCCGATGCGAGCTGATTTACAAAGGATTGTGGTGAACAATTTACTGCAGGGAAGGATACCGATCAAACAAGGATACGGTGCTTCTGAACAGGGTATTATAGCCGTTTGGTCTATGGATTCGGATATAGGTACCGTCAGAGACGGATCAGTCGGGAGACCAGCTGCTGGTATAAAAATCAAAGTATGTTGTTGAAAAATAAATGTTTATCGTGAGTATAAATTAATAATTATATTTTAAACATTATTTTTAGATTGTTAGCTTGGAAACTGGTAAATGTGTTGGCCCCAATATTGAAGGCGAAATTTATATTAAATCGGTGTCCAATATGGAAGGATATGTCAACGATATGAAAAAAACGATTTGTTCGTACGACGAGGACGGTTGGTTCAAGAGCGGTGATGTTGGATACTACACAGAAGATTGCTGTATATTCATTGTCGGTCGAATTAAAGAATTGATGATTTACAAGGACCAGAGGGTACGATAAGATATTCGATTTCGAATATCACGCAGCTACATATTTACATACTGCATAAATGTTTATAGATTGCACCGATTGACATAGAAACCGTTTTATTAAGTCATCCTGCCGTACTTGATGCCGGGGTGACGGGCAAATATAGTGTCCATGGAGATTTGTTGATAGGAGTTGTCAAAGTCAAACCTGGTCAAAATATCGAACCCGATAGTCTCATATCATATGTTAATGGTGAGATTCTACAATAATGGATAATAATATGTCCTGGCGAAATGTGCTAAGTTTTCTGTTGGCAATTTGTTGGTAAAATATTTTTCAGATAGAGTGAGAGACCACGAGAGACTGCGCGGTGGCATTATATTCGTAGACGATGTGCCTAGATCTCCGTCCGGTAAATTGAAACGAGAAGAACTTCTAAATCTCATAAAATAAAACTGTATTTTTACACAGTTTATTATTATCGATCAAAAGAACATAACAGCATAATACGTAACTTTTTTTACACGGTATACGAATGGTTAACAGTTTACATATACACAATAATTAATAGAAAATAAACCTATTTTTTTATACTAATCGCATTAATTGTATGTATAATATCATACTTGTATTTTAATATTTTATAAGAGTAAAAATTATTTTAGTGGAGTAATTACTAAGCGTTGCTTGAAATTTGAATTGAAAAACAATTAGATAAGGGTTGGGAAAGTGTAAAAAATTAAAAATGTCACATTCTATAAAACTTTTGATATAAAAAAAAAAATTAATTTTAATATAAAAAAAGGTAGGTAAGCGGAAAAGGGTCATTACTATAAGTCTATTAAATTAGAATTTAACGATACATCATTGTATTTAAAATGATTCTGAGGAAAAATGATTTATCAGCTTACATGACTAAGTGATTATGTTTTTTTTTTAATATAGCTATATAATATAAATACCTATTAAAGTAAATTATTTTACTTTTAGTGTTATAGTAAGTTGATAAAATTTTTTCCGAAAATATTGCATTTATTATATTATTATAGTGCTAAATTATTATAACGATGTTTATTTATTATTTATACTATGTTATATCAACTTAAATAACTCAAAATTTAGTAACATCTTTCTGTGAATACCGTTAAACATTAAAAATAGATTTTTTTTTATTGATTTTAAAATATATTGACTGCAAAGGTCATTATAGTTACAGTTTTTTTTTTATACATATTTTTAACTTTACATGTGTATGTTTAAGTAAATACAGCTGATATGGTTAATAATAATACATTGTTATGGCTGTTCCGTATGGGGGTGTGTTGCTATGTCGTATTATTTTAGATTTGGTTGAGCATGTCAATTTTTCTTAAAAAATTGACCAGGTTCTTAATATATTTCATGTTGGGGCCTAAAGCTTCGTCTATGTTAGATGAGATGTTATGTTTTTTAGTGTCTTTTACATACTTGAAGCATTCAGTTATTAAGTGCTTGACTATTGATGACTACGCAAGTTGAGCATTGAGAAAGTTCTTCTTTAGCCATAAGGAACTTAGTGTTAATTTTGTGTGACCAATCCGGAGACGATTGATAACTATTCTTTCTCTACTGTTGAGATTGAAGTTAGGCCATTGATATATTATACTTTTGATTTCACGGAGTTTTGTACATTATCTCAGTCAGTGTTCCTGCCATCCAGTTTGAATAGAGGCTTGGATTTAGTTTTTTATATCCGCGTAAGTTGTTAAGTTTAATTTAGAAGTGTTTGGTGATTTCGTTGCTTTCTTGGATTCTTCATCTGCCATTACATTCCCTTCAATGTTACAGTGCCTTGGGGATCCAGATTAGGGATATATTTGATGTTTGATCCTTAAAAAAAAAAAAAAATAATAATAGATTTAGAGTACCTCTAAATAGATAATATTTTATAACAATTCAAAAATGTTATTACGTATAGTAAAATTCATAATAATATAAAAGCATAAAAGTTTAAGTTCCTACGAATCATGTTCTTAAAAATAATTAACATATCGTTATTTATCTTTTAAATAAGAAATTTCATCTAAATGGAACTTCAACTGTCTATAAAGAAAAATTATCATTATACATTTTTAGATTTAATGATTTTTGTATGAATTACTTACATATATGAGGATTGTGTGTATTAAATGTTCAAGGATTTTGACACAGCAAACAATTTTTATCGACATAAAAAAAAAATAAAAATTTCTTATATCTACAATTATTTGACTCAAAAAAAGTTATGTACAACAACACAATTTATAGAACAAAAAAATAATTTGAGAATAAGCTAAGTTACAAATACACAATGAATTAATAATATATGATATATTTATTTATCATAATATCCGATTATATATGATACAATTATATGAATGCAATTATAATTTTAAATTGAAACTAAATATTTAATTAAAAAAGAAACTTAATAATATATTATACAGTCGAATAAAATAACTATACAAGCTTAAAACACAGTAAAGAATTAATATATCTATATATAATTGTAACAGTGTATTTCGAATATGCATAAATCTACATTTAAATGTCCAGATTATAGTCTGTGCAAATAAATCCGGTATTCGTATCTGGAATAAATGGTTCAATTCTCCAGGGATGATTTCCGGTGGTAAGAGATATGCACGCTATATAGTTCGGCCATATTAATGGAGTGTTTAAAAATTAGGGCTCAGTTGTTGGGGTTTCGTGGGTGTTAACATAACCCATTAGTCATATGCCTTGCTTCACGGGATTATTCACCCTTATCAAACTATGGCACCATCGTATAGAAGGGGTGGATGACTTCATAATAGAATTATGACCCCCGAGCTATATACAAAGAAAGATATGGTGCTCGTAAAAAAATGTACAGCTTTTAAATTACAAAAATCAACCACAGAAACGCATATATGATTAATGGACAAGTAGTAAAGTAATGGGGAGATGGTGCGAAAAAAAATAAAATTAATAAAAAAATAAGTACTCTATAATCTACCGCAGGCTCAATGTATTATACTTGTTACTATAGCATATGATACACATACCTAATATTTAAAGGACTTTTGAACGTTTAAACAGTATATTTTAACAAGATATATAGATTGTGGTCTTAAAAATATGTACTATATAAGTACATTCCCATTTTAGACTTTCATAAAAAAAAAAAAAATAATATAATATATATTTGTATTATTATTATTATAAATAATACAATTTTTATAAACGAAAATATTTGTACTTACATTAAAAGAATTATTTGACTTTCAAAGTGAATGTTTTGGGGTTATTATTTTTTATTTTTTAATAACTTTTTAAATTTTTAACAAAATAGCATCTAAATTAACGCTCGTACTTATAGTAGCAATATCGTATAGTAAATTTTGATTTAAGAACCTTAATATCAATTTTTTAAACGTATTAGATTTTGAGTAGCCATTTTGAATAGAATAAGATTTTGAATGAATGTTATTTATTACACTTTAATCTAAATTTAGACACTGTACTCTCGTGAGCACTTTTTGTTTTACTCAGACATTTCTGAGATTTTCCTAATTCAAAATTTTGCCTATAACACGTCTGCAATAATTGGTAAGTTAAAAAATATATATATCTTGAATTAGTAAAAATAATTCATAATTCAAAATGTTAAATTATAAGTTTATGATTACTAAATAAAAATATATTTAACTTAAATAATTTAAATTGAATACTGAGAAGAGAATAAAACAAAAAAATATAGTATTCATTTTTTATTTTAAACACGGTTACAGATTTGTATGAACATAATTTAAATTTTATACGCAGTATATTTATGCTTATTATTTTTTAAATAGAAACAACTCCAAGTTATTATAATAATAGATAATATTAGTCTAGTTATAAGTTATGAAGTTAATTAAAAAATTAACTTTACTAAATAAATGAATGAAAAAGTTTATAACAATCAATTTTTACTTAATAACAACTTTTATGTGCGTGTAGAAACGTATAGCAGCTAACCTTTACTTGATAAGTATTTTAGAAAGTCCGAATAATGGAAATTATTAAATTAATCATTTTAATATATCTAAGGTATCCGAGAGTACTTTTTGTTGGAATGTTTCTGTATGGTATTACATTTTTTTTAATAGTCGTAGTATATTCAGTGAGTATACCTATTATTAACAGCTTCTAAATGTTATCATTATTAACAACATTCTTTACCTAGTTTATGAATTTGCTTGAAAATATCATACGTTTAATACGTCTAGCCAATATAGGGTAGGTACTCTTTAGTAAAGTTAATATAAGTAACTTATATTATTATAAGATTGCATATTTTCACATCATAAAAACTATCACAAAAACATAATTATGTATTATATTCATGTGTAATAAGAAGGAATAGTAGGATCAATTTTTAACAAAATTATTAGTTATTTAAAAAATGAATTGTAAGTTGCTTAATCAATAAAAAACGAATACTTTTTTTAATTAAAAGTTAAAAGTAAAGTTAATGTATTTTCTTCGTATTATCTTTAATTTTTTTTTTAGATATATGTACTCGTAAATTATTCATTAGTTATTAACTTAACATACAAAACGCTGACTTAACTAATTAAAATTTTAATTTTTTTAATTAACATATCTACGCTACTCTGTAAATGTTTAACTAGGACATATTGGAAATCTCATAAATGTTTTTGGCTAATACCGCAGCACTGTTACATTTTTTTTTATAGTTACAGTATTCAACTTATTTCAAACATAGAATTGCAGAATTGCAGTCGAAAAATAGACTACAGAGTCCGACACGTGAAGGAAATTTTTCAATCGTATTCGAAATAATAACATATTAATAATATATATCATTATTCATTATTATACATACGTTCGTTTCAATCTAGCTTGGATGTTATAAATATATACACAATTATATTTTACACGCCACATGCGCTGAAGATATTTTTAAAAGTCGAACCTCCCTGTTTACACACACCCAGCAGTCTGCAGGATGACTCATTATCATCGTTGGCTCGCATTATTTGTCGCCTGGCGGCGAAGAGCTTACACGTGCAGACAAACTGGCACGTGCGCGTGTATTCAACACCACCGCCGCCGGTGTACACAAAGAACGATTTGCGATAAAAAGCTGTCGTGTCACTTTAATGTTTTATCCTACCGCAGATAAATACACAGACGATATATAGGTATATTTTTTCTGTGTGTATAGCGCATTTTGTATTATAATATGAGTCTGCGCACACTTCACCCGAGATAAAAATATTATAATACAGTAGTATTATACAAAATGTACAAAGGAAAAAATCGATTAAAAGCATAGACCACGCATGATGGGCATAATTGAACACTAGCTATATTATTTTATTAACTTCCGATAACTATTTTTATTTTGATATATTTAACATACACAGACACACTGGCATCAAATAAATTACCTATTTTTTACCGTAGTAAGATATTAAACCACCTTCTAAAATATTTAAGTTTAATAACTTTTTTTTAGTGTATTTCATTAAAGTAAAATTAATCATTATTGTATTAATATTAACTTATAATTAAAAAAAAAAAAACCATAAAATGTTACTTTAGCTCAATTATATGTTTAGTAATTACACACATATTAAAAAGTTTCACTTTGGAAATATGACCTAAACACAAGTGAATAAACTTTTATGAAAATTTAATAAAATAGTCGCAATAATAGTATAATACAACAATATTTATTCGTATTACGTAGTCGTAATACTTATAACGCATGAAAGTTAATAAGAGTATAAAATGTACATTTATGTTAGGTTATGCGTTGTAGTCAATAGGTAAAAGTTTAACTTTTATAGTTTGTGAAAACGTTGGGCGAGATAAATATAGTTATAATATAGATTATAGT